ATCACGTGAGATTTCACCCGTGTCGTCCCTATATAGAGAGTCTACCGACTCTCTGATATAACAAGGGTGCAGTGGTTGAATAGTGGAAGAGATAACAAGCCAAAAACGACCTATTACAGTACTTGGCTTTGTGTACTTACAAGTGCATGATTGAAACTCTAGCTCAGTGTGAAAATTTGGCCATAATGTTATGCCAACAGCCAGGTGTCCCTTGCTTTGATTAGGGGAGAGGGCTTTGAACAATACATGTTCGCTTACTTTCCCTGCCAGCTGGTTTCAAAGCTGCCTGTCTGGCGTCTGCACCATTCAGATCGTCGCTGAACTTTTACCTGTGTTTCATGGCAGCTGGTGGTATGCTCTCGGACACTCTTAATGAGACAACCCCAGTTTTACAGCGACTCGTCTACACTGCTATGTATAGTACCAATTTCTCTGCAACTTTCTTCTTTCTTGACCGACAAAACATACTCCTAAAATAAGCAAGTTATGTATGGATCAATGTTCTGTGTTTTCTACTGCCTGATAACTTCATCTTCCTCTGTAGAGACCTTCTCTGCAGCAGTCTCCCCCTTCGACTGATTCTACATCTTGACAATCCCTCTTCCTCTACTTCCTCCTCCTCCTCCTCTCCCACCTCCTTTTCCTTCCCTCTCTTGGCAAACTGCTGCCTCTTCACCTTTTGCTTTATCCGGCCTCTCTTCGATTCCCCCACCTCTCTCTTCCCTTCACCCACCACAATGGTATCTGAACCACTCTGTATGTCACTTTGTTCCTCTCCTCCCTGGTGGCAAACACTGGAGTCCTCAATGCCACTGCTGTCCTCAGTATCAGTCACCTCTTCACTTTCACTCTTTTCACATCCGGCGCTGTCTGTGGTGTGCTCCAAATGGAGTTCTGTGTCAGGGGCGCGATCCTCAACAAACAGATCTCCTTCATCTGTCAAATTAACAAAGATGAAGAGAGTGTAAGCTTTTCGGCCCAGGGATAAACAGAGACAATGTCAATTTGGGGCCAAAAACAAATCACGCGGCGTTACACATCAAGCTATATAAATGTAGGCAAGAATTAATGTAGACAGCTATAAGGCCTCTTTGAAGTGCTTGAGCGAACCTTAGCTCATGGATGACTTTACGTGTGTAAAGTTGACCCCAAAAAGGAACTACCTTAGGTTACAACTGACTGCGTAACACTGTATACACATACATTCAAGTACATATATACCCAGTGTTGTGCTGTCAGCCGCAGCAACTGTGACATCACTGACTGCACCACCAAAGAAACTCTCTTCAGTGCTGGTCTTTCCGGGCTCCTTTGACAGGCCTGCACCCAGGGCTGTGGAGGTGGTGGTAGATACAGCAGACGGCTGGTCGGGCAGCTTCATACACTGCCACGTGTAGTCCACAAACATGGACAACTATAGAACAGAGGAGAAAGAGAACGGTGAAATATTTCAACTACATATCCACACGTTACTATAGCATGAACGTGTAGTTTGCATGCATGAAGAAAACCACTGGTTTCCCATACAAAGGCATGCAAACGGGGGGCTAAAGCACTCTGTGTGAAGAAACGTACCGTATAGCGGGAAATTTTCGCGGGTGCATACTTTCGCGGGGTCGTCCGTGGAGCCTCCAGCATAAATTTTTCCCGTTTTTAATTTCGCGCACGCGCCCAACGTAAGACCACGCCCAAATTTTAGTAGAGGCAGGTGTGAACTTAGCGTAGCTTCCTCTCTTCACCATGGCTTCGTAGCGGCGCTCCTAACGGCTTCGTTAGCTTCTCTTATCGTGGAGGATGTGAGTTTTGTTGAAAGAGGTCCTTTGGGGTCCGGAAGGGAGTCTGCTGCAGAGCGATAAAGAGCCATCGTGCGCGATTCAGCTGCTGGCTTCTTAGCCCCGCCCCCGTGCTTTTCCAACAGTGATGTCATATCTATTCACAAATGTTCGTGGTTTTATTTTCGTGCACATCTACACCTGTCCGCGAAATTTTGCACCACGCGAAAAATTCCTGCTATACTGTATCATTATACATTGCTAGACATTGGGCTCAACTAGCATCAAGTAGGACAATGAGAGAAAGAGAAAGAACGAGCTACATACTTCCATCAGGAACCTTACACATGACCAAGTTGATGTGTCTAAGAGCGAGCTACATGTCTGAACTGACTTGCAGGAGTCGACTGAGTCTCTGGAAATGTCTCTCAGTGTATGGAATGAGGCCCTCCAGAATGGAATGGAGATCACCGTACGACATCAGCTGCTCCAGGGTGTGGGTCCTCAGAATGTAAGACAGAACTATAAATAGGAGGAGAGTAGAATGAACAGGTGTACTATGGCAAACGTTTCCAATCACTATAACATCGTGTAGTTAGACAATGAGTCTGTGATTTATGAGCAGATTTCCAAGGAAGAGCTGCCTACCACTTTTCAGGGAAACAGTGCTTCAAACCTACATTTTATTAGGCACGAAGCACACACACATGAGTGTCTATGAAGTATACAGCATACAGGGGAAACTAACTTGCTATAAAATGAATACCTGTCTGTGCTACTTTGCTGTACTTGGCATTCATGTTCCACTTGGTCAGGTACCTCAACACCGAGTCTAAGAGAAGACAGGGAGAGGGGGAAAGAAAGGAAAAGGAAGATGGGGGGGAATATAGAGCCATTATAGAGATATCACATATTATGTAGGTGTGGAGCTACCTACTTATTTGGTCAGGTCTAAGAGCAGAAAGTGTGTCTTTGAAAACCCCATCTTCTCCTCCATCATCCAGCACCTCTGCATGCATGAGTGAAAAAAGAGACAAACACTTTGACTACAGTTGGAGTATGGAATAGTATCTTGTTTTACCGTCCCTCTCTTCCGCTGCCTTTACCCATCTCCCCACCCCTCCCCCACTAACGGTGTCAGCGATTTTGCATTTTTTGTAGGCACACAAGTGGACAAAAAGACAAACCAACTACCCTTGATACTTGGACTAGTGTTGGAGTATGGAATAGTATCTTGCTCTACCATTCCTCTCTTTCGCTGCCTTTACCCATCCCCCCACCCTCCTCCACTAATGGTGCTAACAGTTTTGCATTTTTTGTAGGCACACAAGTGGATGAACAGACAAACCAACTATCCTCAATACCTTGACTGCAGTTGTAGCATGGAATAGTAACATACACTATCTTGCTGCATTGTTCCCTTAGTTACCAAACCCCCACCCCCAATAAGGGTGTCAGTGTTTTACAGGCACCTCCAGATGACTCTCACACCATATTATTTTGCAACATTTCTGTTCTTCCAGGCCTGACGTTGCCCCAGAGAGTGTATACTGTTACAGGCCGGCTGGCCAGGGTCAAAGTGCAACGAGAACCTGATAGGATGGTGTAGACTCTGAATGGCTGGTCCAGATTGATGGCCACACCCACTGCCTGGACGAAATCTCTCTGCTGCAGATAGTTGGACAACTCCTGCTCCCTGTTGGAGCATGACGTACACACATTAGTTCAGACAAAAATGTTTGCCTAAAGCTACTAAGGCAGCATGTCCCAGCTTTCATAGGAGAGCTGTGGACAACTGCACTCTACTTCACTTCTTTTCCCCGACTCTGACTTGAGTCTGACAAATCTCCACATGTATACACTGTTTATACGATAATTACAGGATCAAGTTCGGGGGCTACGAATGTAGTACATCATTGGGGCAAGGGTGCTACGATACATTTTGAGAGGTCTCACTGGAGTATCTGTCTGTCTCTGGCCTCTTGTTCTTCAGCCACAACCTTCTCTGTCACATCCTGACATTGACACAACAGCACACATTACTACTGCATGGCACGTACGTATACACTGCCCAGTGACAACTAGGGACTGTGTAAGGGGAAGCAAACCTTTACTATATACCGACGAGAGGCCTAGTTCAGGGGAGCATTTTCAAGGGGTGCAATGGTTGTATTGCCTAATCGCCCCCCTTTTTTTACCCGGTTAAAACAACATGTAGTTTTTTTTTGATGCTACCTTCCAGAGACAGATGAGAGAATCGGCTCCACCAGACGCCAGCCAGTTCCCATCCTCACTACTGGCTATGGACCACACCTGTGCACAATACTTTATATCATACCCATACATCATCTGTGACATTCGGTACATATATACCATGCTAATCCTTACTACTGACAACACTAGCTGTGAAGATAGTGTGAATGCGTACCTTCTCAGTGTGCTGGTCGAGTGTTGTCACACATTCATTTGTCCTGACGTTCCAGATCTTCACAAGACCATCGCTACCACTGCACCCATCACGTAAACAGCACAATCGATTATGAGTTGCTCGTAAACTTTTAATGCCCACCTTCCCAAGTATGCCCCAAGAGGGTTAAATGTCCAACTATGCTGCCTGTCATCTACTGAAGGTATATATACTACTTGGCACACTGTGTTCTCTGTTTGACTTATAAACCTCCAAACTATGCACTATAATGTCATGTATTGTGTACACTGGAGACCTTGAAGCAATCTGCATGCCTCTGGTGATGAAGACAGCCTTGAGAACGGACATGGTGTGACCCTCAAAAGTCTTGATGCAGCTGCAGTCATTGACTGCCCATAGCTTTAGAGTTGTGTCAGCTGATGCTGTTAGGACACACTGGGAGAGGGGGGAAGAGGGTAAGAGAGGGGGAGAGGTGGGTAAGAGGGGGAGAGAGTGGGAAAAGAGGGAAGAAAGATGGGGAACAAGGGAGGGAAAGAGATGGTGAGAGGGGTAGAGAGGTAGAAGAACAGAGAGGGGGGAGGAGGAAGGGAGAATGGGAAAAGAGAAGGGGAGATGGGGGTGAAGCAATGAGGGAGAGCGACAAGAGGGAGGGAAAGGAGAGTAGGGGTGTAAGGAGGGAAGACAAACAGCGAGATGAGAGGAAGTACAGGAGGTGCGGAGTGGATCCCCTGACCTGGTCCACGGGGGAGAACTGGACACTCCAAATGCCTCTTCTGTGACCTCTCAGGACACCCACCAGTCCTCCATCACTCACGTTCCACAACTGCAGACAGTTACGTATGGCATATGACACAAAGGCAGGCACTTCTTACGTATGGCATATGACACAAAGGCAGGCACTTCTTACGTATGGCATATGACACAAAGGTAGGCACTTCTTACGTATGGCATATGACACCAAGGCAGGCACTTCTTACGTATGGCATATGACACAAGGCAGGCACTTCTTACGTATGGCATATACACAAAGGCAGGCACTTCTTACGTATGGCATATGACACAAAGGCAGGCACTTCTTACGTATGGGCATATGACACAAGGCAGGCACTTCTTACGTATGGCATATGACACAAGGCAGGCACTTCTTACGTATGGCATATGACACAAAGGTAGGCACTTCTTACGTATGGCATATGAACAAAGGCAGGCACTTCTTACGTATGGCATATGACACAAAGGCAGGCACTTCTTACGTATGGCATATGACACAAAGGCAGGCACTTCTTACGTATGGCATATGACACAAAGGCAGGCACTTCTTACGTATGGCATATGACACAAAGGCAGGCACTTCTTACGTATGGCATATGACACAAAGGCAGGCACTTCTTACGTATGGCATATGACACAAAGGCAGGCACTTCTTACGTATGGCATATGACACAAAGGCAGGCACTTCTTACGTATGGCATATGACACAAAGGCAGGCACTTCTTACGTATGGCATATGACACAAAGGCAAAGTAATAAAATTCGTGTAGGTAATTTCTTAGAACAAGCTCTAAGAGCTCCCCAAAAGCTAAAGTTTCAAGGCGCACCTGTGAAAGTTTCAACAAGGACTCCCATACCTGGACTTTGAAAATTTGTCTGATATTTTTCTCCTACAGAAAGTTTTGCAATACCTTAGCTGTTTTGTCTTGTGATCCAGTGACCATGAGCTTGTCATTTGGCGACACGTCCATTGCATTGATATCCTGCAGTATGGGGGGATCATACCATTCTGGACAGACAGGATTGACCAGTTCTCAGACCTTGTCGTGGGCCAGTTGAGTGTACTTGGTGGGCAGTTTCACCGGTTGCTCTCCCTAAATAATAGTGAGACACTCACAACAAATGAGTGGCTAATAATGCAGTAAGTTTGCATTGACAATGCACATCACTCTACAGTTGAAACTGGGTTTTTGACTATGTTGGATTTTTAAAGCAGGATTGTTATTTTGAAGTTCTGTAAAATGAGACCAGGCCATAGAGCGAAGAGTACAAACGTACGAGAGAATCAGAGTGTACATTCTCAAACAAAAACAGACTACAAACAACTACAGTATGTGTATAATTACAGGACAGAAAGGAGTGGCACCTTGTTCCATTTGGAGAGGGGTTTCAGACTCCACAGTTTGATGGTGCAGTCCTGACTTCCACTCACTACGAATGACCCACTCATCCTAATGAGGCAGATTACGAGCAGACGAAACAAAGAGATACATAGCTCAACAACATGTACAGTACGCTCTCTCGGCAAGTTAGCAATAGCTTAATGCATAGAGTGTGACCTTAGAATCATTATGTATATCCCACAACATCGAAGTGTGGAGAGGCTTTCTTTATTCTTACACACTTCAGGCACACAGTGTATACGTGTGACTGAAGCAATGTGTGATGCTGGCAAATGTACAGTAAAGCCAGACCTTCCAAATGCCACAGCGCCCACTGCTTCAGTGTGTCCAGACCCCACCCCCTTGCAGATGAACTCTGAACTCCGACCGTCCGACCCCTCTTCCTCCTCCCCCCAGACTCGGACGGTGTGGTCCTTGGAGGAGGAGACGAGGAGGGGGCGGAGGGGGGGAGGGGGGACGAACGCGTCGATGGAGAGGACGACGCGGCTGTGGCCGTGAAGCAGCTGCCAGTCGAGGGAGCCACCGCGGGCGAGGACTTTGACCTGCTCGCTGTTTGTGGCCACCGCCAGTCGGGGGGCGGGGCCTCCCAGGAATCTCATGTCCAGGATTTCATCACAGTAGCCCAGGAGCTGTACAGAGGTATATAATACATCAGTGATGGTACACTGATTGCACTGGCATGTAACATACAGTTTGGATGTCTCAATCTTAATGCATGCACACTCGCCAGACAACACAAAATTTGGTAAATCAGGCACCTACAGCTGCCTACATACATACCATAGTCCAATTTCCACATTTAGACAGGAGTTGAAGACGTCGTTTTCCCAATGCTTTAGGTAAACACAGTGCTAAGTCATGAGTATTCGACTGAAACACGTAGGGGCTGAATCAGCGTTAGTATCGCTGAATCAGTGTTAGTATCGCTGAATCAGTGTTAGTATCGGCACCTGTTTCTGCCTGGTGAAGGTGGCCACGTCGTAGAAGATGATGCTGTGATCATATGTCACACCCACCAGTTCCCCTCTGGACCCACTAAACTGCAGGTCTGTGTACACCTGAGGAACTTCCTCCTCCCCCTCTCCCTCTCCGTCTTTCTCTTTGGTCATGCCCAGTTGGTGACTGGTGGATTGGGGGCGTGGCAGGGGGTCCAGAGAGTGGCTCATTGTACCAGTGACCATGTCCCATACTCTTATCACACCTGTACATACAGACAGCAGTGGTTGGACAAAAGTACATACTCTATTTATAATTCTATGGGAAAATTGAGCATAATAAACAGGGTAAAATTGGGCAATATAATGCTTAGCAGTACATTCATAGGCCCTATGGACATGGAAGGTTTTTTCTCAGAAATCAGCATGCATATTAAAGCGATATTTTTGAATCCCACTCACAAATCAAGATTTACCTTTGTCTCCAGCTGTGGCTACAGTGAGAGAATCCACTGGCCCCTTCTTCCCACTCCTCCTTGACTCACCACTCTCTGGCAATATCACCAAGCCCTCCACTGCCTAACACACACACACACACATACACACAAAGAGCCAAATTTTACCAATTTTTCCTCAGAGGAAAAAGGTCTAACACCATCAATTTACCCCAAAAAACAATGGAGCTATTCACAACTGGTCTCTATTGATACAGATTTGTCCTCACCTCAAAGACAGGCAGTGTCTTGTGTAGGGAGTAGTGAGGGAGCCTCCACACATGTAACACCTTGTCTCTCCCTCCACTGAAAGGTGGTGAAATTTACTCCATACAGTTCAGCAAGAATCAAGTGTTTTAGTTTAGACACTTTAACCACCATCTTGCCCGATGTGTAGTATTGCCAAATTGCTCACTTAAGCACGAGGTAGAATTTCAGAAACCCGCCCATCCGTGTGATGTGTAATTCCAGGCCACTAGGTCCAATTACAATGGTGCCAGGGGAGGTGATGAAGTACAATTATACCTGATCATGAAGCGCTGGTCTTTTGAAAATGCAACTGAAGTAACGGCACTGACGTGGCCTCTCATCACCGACACACACCTGCTGCTCTTCAAATCCCACACCTTCCAATGGAGAACAGGGAAAACTCTCTATAATACTCAATACATCATTACGCAGCAACACATCATGCTAAACCTAAAAACACTCCAACTTTTACAGATCGCTAACCATATTTTGAGTTCACCAATGAAACTCAAATGTAAATCGAAATTGGGCCCCAATGAGCTAATTACATAAAACCAGTGTTTACGAAAAATACTTCACAATGAAATCAACAAGTTTTTAGTGTCCACTAAAGGGATCTACCTTTATTGAGGTGTCAGCAGCGGTGGAGGAGAACAGAGTGAGGTGGGCGGGGTCGGGGTGAAAGGTCAGCAGACCCACTAGCCCTCCAGAGGGCCGCAGGTTGTGGGTACAGTAGTGTCTGACACAGTCCCACACTTTTATCCCACTGCTCGAACCTGGATATTAATGGGGAGATGTGAACCTCAGCACAGCAGGTTTGAATGACTATACAACCTGTAGCTAGGAGAGTGGAGGTGGGGTCTATTGCCATGGCGACAACAGCTCCCTGCAGTGGTTTCCAGCTCCTCGCACACTTTCCTCTCTTCATCTTCTCCGTCTTTTCCTCCTCCTTCCCTTCCTCCCCCTTCTCCCCCTCTCCCTCTCCACTCTCAACCTTCCACTGGTAAAGCTTCAGCTGTTGACTCCTCCATGACACCACAAGGAACTGTGCAGGGGAGCAAAAGTGAGAGACCTACAGCGGAACCTCTTTATAAAGGACTCACAGGAACCATCAAAACTGTCCTTTATACAGAGGTGTACTTATTCGTTTAAAAATACACAAAACAAGTGTCCTTTATAAGTTATATAGCCAACATAAAATAATCATGGAGAGACATAAACATACCTTGCAGTCAGGACTAAGCACAAAGCAGATGACCGTATCTTCCTCCTGAGTTCAGTAATAGCAATGATGGCGGACAACTGGTGTGGCTAATTGACCACATCTCACCTCTTCAAAACAGCGGTCCACTACTCCAGTGCCAATATGGAGTGCCTTCACTGCAGAGCCACAGCTAGTGAACAAGTGCTCCCCGTCCTTAGACACCTACGTATGCATCACGTATATTATACAAATGCAATGGTTTGACTACTAAAGTAAAGCTAACCTGCACTTGGCCGCCGGTGTAAAATTCTTCGAGCTTTTCTTGCACCTCGAAGCTGTAAACGACAGAAAGATGCAGGCTATGTTGAGCAACAAACACTTCGAGGTAGGTCCCCTTTCTGACCTAATCCTGTGCTCCACAGTCTCGCCAGACGGCGTCTTTTTGCCTTTCCCCATCACTTCTCCACCTCTCCACGTGTGTACTATGCACCACACACCACGTGGGTTCGCGGATGATTACGTAATTCTCCTCGACACTCCCCCTTTTCCAGACCTCGATCGCCGCTATCCTGCCTGGAGAGAGAGTCGGGCTAGGCACTTTTGCCGTCTTCAGTCGCCTACAGCAAGCGGAGAATGAGCTCAGTGCTGGGATCAGCGTGCCTGGGAGCCTACACGTTCTGCGCGCGGCAGCACGGGCAGGAGGAATGCGACAGTAAGGGTCTGCCCCTCACTCCCTACTCCATCAACGTCGCGGGCCGCTTCCAGTCACTGCTGGAGCTGGACCACGGCGGTCTGTGTGCCTACCTGGACATCAAGAGAATCAGGAATGGTAACTTATATCTGCAGTGGAACCATTCTTAAAGGACACCCCTAAAATGAGGACTCTTCTGTAATATTGACAGCATTTCATGGAAAATTTCAATATGTGTCCAGATTAGAGAGGTTCTGTACGTAGCTAATGCAACTATAGCCCAACTAGCTACATAGCTATCTAGCTGCATGCCTTGCTGTTCGTCCATCACGTGACGAGATATTTACCAGTGATTGTCGTGTCCCCTCTTTCGTTTTGTTGTAACCAGAGAGGCTACTGGTTGTGTCCGAATGGTACGAGGACAGCGTGGAGAAGCACATGCAGTCTCAGCAAACAAACGTGTGAGTAACTTTATGTCGAGAGTGTGTGACCCGCGACAAATCCTCTCTCTCGCACACACACACACACAAACACAGTGTGGACTCGCTGCGAAGACTGGCTCACCAGGTTCTTGAGGCGCTGGCTTACCTCAACCGTCACAACATAGTCCACCACTGCCTGGCCCCTGACAACATCTTGTTTACTCCACAGGTATAATTATAATGCCACTGCATGTATGGTATAGTGGCTGTTTTGAATGTGTGTGGACCACTGAGTACATTGAAGGTAGCAATGGAAGTGGCAAGAAATGCGGACTAAAAACCCATTATGGCAGTACTGATGCGTGATTCACAAGTGGTGGACTAAAAACCCATTATGGCAGTACTGTTGCGTGATTCACAAGTGGTCGACTAAAAACCCATTATGGCAGTACTGTTGCGTGATTCAAAGTGGCAACAAACAACAAAACGTTGCCATGGTGTGATGGTGGTTTTGAATGTGTATGTACGTATGTAGGGAGATGTGAAGCTGCATAACTATGGACTGTATCATATGACAGACTGTGGAAGAGCCGTCAGGTTTCCTATTGGGTGAGTACTCCACTACAGTACTGGACAATGAGATTGTGACTGTGGTATAATTATGTGTGCAGGTCCCCTCGTCATTTAGCTCCAGAGACTATCGTCAAATCTTCTCCCTCCCTCTCTCCCAAGGTGTCTGTCTGTGTGGATCACTCACATTGGTGCATACGTATCTTCATGATTCTTGTTTCCTCTTCTCTAAAGGTCGACGTTTGGTCACTAGGTGTAATCCTACTGGAGCTATATCTTGTGAGAATAAGTTTTACGTTGTGAAGAATGGGAATGGAATCTGTTGGTTTCACAGTTTTGGAATACATTACTAACATAGTACCATTTCTGTATGAAAGCTTATGCACACTGTATGCCCGCATAAATATCAAGGTATTTTGAACGTGCAGGGCACACAGTTGTACCCTGACCTCTGTATCACGAGTTCCCTATCTCCACTGTTCAAGAGGATTCTGCTACTAGCACAGAACTTCCACCGTCAGTGCTATTAATATAGCCTCTATGTGGGATAAATTACTCTATACATGACAGTGGTACTTACGTAGTATATAGGGATGAGCAAGGTATATCTTGTTTCACCTTTTCAAATTCGTGGGATTTTTATTTACTTGTATTATCATTGTAGGCAAGGAAGAGCACCCATTGACAGGGCTGCTAGAGATGGAGAAACACAAGACAAGGGAGGAGGTATATACGTGGCATAATATAGTGGGTTCGTGCAATAGCTTTTCACGCAATATTAGAATTACTGTTGAAATGCTGAATGTTGCCAATGTGTATGTATGCAGCCGATGCCGTCTAACTTGAGGTCATTTCTGGAGGCCTGTCTCACTCCCCTGCCTTCAGAGAGGTCAGTTTTATACCATTGCTGGACCTTTTGTATCAGTGGTGTATCAAAACCTCTTAGTCTCCTGTGTTTCTTTATACCCTCTCACCGTCTATCCTATATACCCCACACACATGCACACACACACACACACCCAACAATTCCCAGGCCATCTCCAGCGGAGTTACTGTGTCATCCGTTCCTAGCTGACTTACAAAACGACAGGAAAAAGGTGCGTTCTTCTGTCATTTTGAGCTTGAATTCTCAGTGTACTACACTAGCCAAACTTTACAAACAAGTTATCATTTTAGTTTGCTTGAGTTTCTTATCAGGTCTTTGCCTCAAAGCCCCACATTTATTTCTGCCCAGAAGAACGGAGTGAATTTCTCGTTTCTCCCGAGTCCGTTTAAACAGCTGCATCGCTGTCATGATCTGAACTTTGACCTCCCCACCACCACTCACGGCCCTCCCCCACAGCCGCACACCGTCGCCAGTGAGGATGACCACTTCGCTGACAGGTGGGTGTGGCTACACAACTTCCAACACTCTATGTAGACCAATTATAGAGTCTGGTTAATTGGAAAGTTGCCTACAATTTCGACCAAATTGTAAGTCTGACAAAAATTCCTAGAGCTCAGCTTTTCCCATTACAACTGCCAACTCAACTGCTTTCCACCAGTTTTGCAGGCTTACTTCACTCACCAATTTATGATTTGGGAGTGTTGGGAATTTTTATACCTGTTTTACATGTACAATGCACGCTATAGTACACCGACAGTCCACTGTATTGTACCTACATGTACAATATACAGACGTATCAGAGAGGTGTACTACCTGTGGAGTCTGGCAGGAGGAGAGGTGGAGGCAGAGCTGAGGAAGACAAGTCTCATTCCCTCCACTCCACCCATCTGCAGCCTGCCCTGGTCACCTCTCTCTCTCTACCTCCCTCTCTTCCTCTCTCTGCCTTTCTACTCTGAAAATCACTTTTCCACTGATCTTCCTTATTCACAATACAAAGTCTTCAGAGTTGTACAGGAAGGTTTAATATTTGACTTTGTCGCTATTGTAGGGAGTAAACAGTCTGCTTTTCCGCACAACATTAAAACCATAGAACTTTTGGCCACTCTTCACGTGTTAGCGTGTCCATTGAATACTGCAGTGTGGTGACTAGCGGTAGAGAGGAACATGGCAGTGGGAGTGGCCTTGTGACTCACTATGACAGATCTGTTCTGCTACTGTCTCTGGACCAACTTCGAAAGGTGACCCCTCTCTCTTCATTTCTTCCTATCTCTCTTCATCTCCTATATATCTCATCTCCTCCTATTTCTCTCCATTTCCTCTCTTTCTAAGAACACCTCTTTCCCTCTCTCCCTCATCCCTATTCTCCCTCTTCTCTCCTCCCTCTCCCTCTTCTCCTCTCTTCCTCTTCATCTACTTTCTCTTCTTCCCACTCCCTCCACATTCTATATACCTATATACAGGATTGTCATTGTATGTAGATGTATGTATATTGTCCCTACTACTGTCCTTTTACAGAGACTGGAAGGAATGTCAGTAGCTGATTACTATCCTCTCACAGAGACCAGGTATATTCAATACTCGCGTCTTTTTCCAAAAGCAAGAAAGCAGGATCAAATGTGTAAATGAATACATACGTACACGTATGTAGCTTCGCTGTTGTTATAATCTCAAGCCAGTGAGTATCAATTATGTTGAACCCCTCACTGCTTGGTTGTAACTCCCTCTACTGCAGTGGAGGGACAATGCCAGGTCAGGAGAGACATGACTCATCTTCTCTGCCTCTCGCCATCAAGGAGAAAGATGTTGAATACCAGGTACTCCACTTATGTACTCATACACACTGTGTGATGACTGTGTGTAGCAGCCTCACTGATCCAAACCCCTCGGGGTTTAGGGGTATTGAAGGCCCTCCTTTTGTATGCTTGTGTACTTTGACATTTGCTACTGTATTGTTCTACCATCGTGCTGTGTGTTCTACCATCGTGCTGTATTGTTCTACCATCGTGCTGTGTGTTCTACCATCGTGCTGTATTGTTCTACCATCGTGCTGTGTGTTCTACCATCGTGCTGTATTGTTCTACCATCGTGCTGTGTGTTCTACCATCGTGCTGTGTGTTCTACCATCGTACATGTGTGCATGCTTTGTTTGTATGACGATTTTGTTTAGTTTGGAGCAGCTCGGTGGTATGCAGGTGTAGATGTGTTGGTCCTTAGCGAAGGGAGGCTTAGGATATTTCCATGTGCTACTACAACGTATACCCCTATATATGTATGTATGTATGTATGTATGTATGTATGTAGTAGTATGTATGTATGTATGTATGTATGTATGTATGTAGTATATGTATGTATGTATGTATGTATGTATGTATGTATATATGTATGTATATCTCCAGTTCCATCGTATGGTGATGTTCACACGACTACTGGAGAGCTATCCTCATTCTCGGTCGCTCGTCATGGCAGAGGCTGTGGTGGACGTGTGTCCTCTGGTTAGGGCTGAGGTCTGGGCCGCTCTCCTGGGGGTCAAGGTACACAACAAACACCATTTTAAACTCACTGTGTGGTATATATAGTCATAGCATAATCACAGCATAGAATGGTATGCATGCTGCACTCACTTTGTAAACACCAGGTTCATCCCTCATGTTACCAGTTTTTTTTCTTTTTTTCTTCTCTTCTCTTTTCCCATCGACTGCTTTTTCCTTCTCTTTATCGTGGCTTGTATGTAATAAATATGTCGTCCTTTCTCAAAAACACTTATGTAAGTACGTACAATTGAATTTATAAGGTAGAAGCTGTTAACTGCATTCTTGCACTGGGCCCTATTGTCTCTACTAAGTTTAGCCCTTATATATAGTATAATACTGTCACTGGATGTCCATTCATGATAGTGTCATTATTACAGGGGGACATACAGGAGGAGTATGCCGCCATTGACAAGGACACGGAGCAGCTGACAGACAGACAGATAGACGTGGACATCCCTCGTTGCCATCAGTACGACACCCTCCTCTCCTCTCGCGACGGACACTGCAAATTCAAACGGATTCTCAAGGCTTGGATCGGGTCTCACCCCGCCCTTGTCTACTGGCAGGGTATGGGCCGACGTACAATTGTATTGTGTACTTCTTATTGCCACTAAGGATTAAGATATGTGCTTGTCCACACACACAAATTCTTAAAGGGCTCAGGGGCTTCTTTTCAACTTTCAAAAGGATGAGTTGTCAAACCTGTTTAGCTCCAACTCTGGGTGCGTGGGTGCCCGCGAGTGCTTATAGCGTCCTTAACCAGATTTTACACGGAATTCCGTATCTCGTCTCAGTATTGTGTTGTACGTTGCACATTGCGATGTGTCACTGCTGTATGGGATTCCGAAATTTATGTGTCTTGCAGGTCTCGACTCTCTCTGTGCTCCGTTTCTAGCTCTCAACTTCAACGACGAAGGTAAGTGTATACACAATTACACCTCTCTGGTTGCCCAGGAGAACGTTGTCATGTTCAGTTTCTTGACGCTGTCACAGCTCTGGCGCTGGCGTGTCTGTCCACATTCATCTCCAAGTACCTCCACAACTTCTTTCTCAAAGATAACTCTTCCATTATGCAAGGTATGTTGTTTATACATGTACTGTGGAAGGCAAGAGAGAGAGAGAGAGAGAGAGAGAGATAGAGATAGAGAGAGAGAGAGAATGCAGACGAGCTTTTATTCTGAGTTGTAGCTCAGTGTGTATATTGGAGGACTAGACTTAGGCCTGGCCGGTTCCTTTACATTGTCTTTGGGATTACAGTATTGCAAATCGAGTGTGAGGGTTTGAAAACTAAACCACACACACCCACACTGTCCCACAGAGTACTTGGCAGTGTTTTCGCAGATGATAGCGTTCCACGAGCCGGCACTCTTCAACCATCTGGACAGCACTGCCTTCAACCCTGAGGTCGGTCTCACTGCCTAGTGCCTCCCTTGTCTCTCTGTCTCACTCTGACCTTTTCCTCCTTGTCCCCAGCTCTACGCCATTCCCTGGTTTCTGACTATGTTCACACGTGAGTCAGTCTCTTTCTTCCTGTAGCATACGTACATACATACAATACGACTTGCGTACAAGAGGGAAAGACATGCATGACATAGCAAGGCATGTCTGTATCAACTGGCAAAGTTGAAGTGTAACGGAAACTGCAGGGTGTAGCCTTTGTTTCCTCGGGGTGAAGGGGGGCGGGTTTACACACACTTTGTAAGTGGATACTATGCACTTAACACCATTGAGCAACATTAGCAACTGGATGCCTAAACTTAACCTCCATTTACCCCCCCTCAGATACTTCCCCCCCCCACAAGAAATCCTGAGTCACATGTGCTCCTTTTTCTTCCTCCAGATATCCTTCCCCTGCACAAGATCTACTATCTCTGGGACACTCTGTTGCTAGGCAACTGCTCCTTCCCTCTCTTTGTGGGTGTCAGCATTCTACAGCACCTCAGGGACGACCTTTTGACCTTTGACTTTAACGAATGCATTCTCATGTTCTCTGACATGCCTGGTAAAAATTATACGATAAAGTGTAGCACAGTTGCCTAAAACAATTCTCGTGTCTATTTTTGCAGACATAGACATCCAGGCGTGTATTCATGACGCCGTACGGGCTTATCTGGCCACACCCCCAAGTACGTATCTACGGAAACATGACCACACCTACTCCCCGCCCACAGACGTCCCACCTGAAGCAGTGAGTTCATTATTGGCACAGCACTTTACCCTCTCACCTCTCTTCTTCCTTCCCTCTCTCCTTCCCACACTGACCAACTTCTACTTTTGCTCCCTCTCTTTTCTTTCCTACTTCTTTCCTCTCTCCCTCCCTCCCTTCTCTCTCTCCTCTCCGCCAGTTGCGAGAACCTCTCTCACTAGACGTACTGAGACAAGAATCGTGTCCGCACATATCTGCTCACGACGTAATAGCACTCTGTGGACTTGAGTACCACGCTCTCGGGTATGGGGGCGGGGCCAGGGAGAGTGGCCCCACCCACTCATTAAGGAGCCCCTCGAGTCCCCTACAGAGAAGGGCGGAGGTGGGTAGGAGGAGAGGGAAGAGTGGGAAGGGAGGGAGGAAGGGGAGAAAAGGTGTTCTGGTTGATATCAGGTCCCAGGAAGAGTATCCCGTCACTCCACCAGTCTATGTCACTCTGAGTAGCTAAACTATTCCGCTGTTTAAAACTTTTACGACACCTTGGCAACTCGGTCCCATGGTGTCATTTGATCAGAGTTTTTGCTCTATGCACTGTGTACAGTGGAACTCCTCTAAATCTAGACACGGATGATGAGACAAAAGAAAGTGTCCACATGAGTGAGGTGTCTGTATTTCAGTGATTAAGCAAGTGAGGAAGGGTAAGGTGTCCCTATTAGACCTATGTATGTATTAGAGAAGTGTCCTCATTTCAGGTGTTCTTAGATTACGTATTTTGCAGTTGTATATAGTATATACACACTGCAACTGCCCATTGTAACCATAGTTGGTGATGTCAAAATTTTGTGAATTTGCCTTTGTTGCTGTGACCTTTGACAACTGGTGTCAGATTTCGTGCTGGCCATGTCCCTGGCTCCCTGAGCCTGCCTCACCAGCTGGCGTTCCAACCAGACGGCTCCCTCACCCCCTCCCTTCCCTCCTCCTCCCTCTCCTCCGTCAGAACCAGTCGAGTCATCATTGTCGTCGCCAACAAGGGAAAGAGTGGACCTGAAGTGAGAGCTTTGTATATGTTTAGCACCACGCCTTTGAAGGTCTATAATGCTTACCCCACATTATTTGATGGGCACTGTCTGATAATAGTTGCCTATGATTTACGTATGTAAACTAAGCTTGTCTTTTGTCCAACTGGTGTTCCGGTGACCTACAGTAATGCAAATTGCTCTGACACCCTTAGAGGTTGCAAGATAAATTGGCAAACTGGCAGCAAAATAGAGGCAAAAGAGGGATTGGTAAAGCTAGATAGGAAGAGTTGCAAAAAGACAGATTTGATTACTATTCCATACTCTAATGATAGTCAAAATGTTAGGCATGGTTGGCTTGTCTCTTCTTTCACCGGTGTACCTACAAAAAATGCAAAATCGTTGGCACCCATGGGGGGGGAGAGCGAAATAGAGGCGAAAGAGCAATTGGTTAAGCTAGATAGGGATAGTTGCAGAAAGGCAGAGTATGTTACTATTCCATACTCCAACCATAGTCAAAATATTGAGGATGGTTGGCTTGTCTCTTCTTCCACCGGTGTACCTACAAAAAATGCAATCGTTGACACTGTTATTAGAATGATGTTGAGTGATGGATTTTACCGCAATGCCGCCGGCCCTCTTGTAGTGCTGCGTATAATATATGTGTGTGTGCTCTTACACGTTCTTCTCTACAGTTTGCGAGACAACTGGTCCGACTCAGGTTCCCCCACGTGTGTGTCCTCCACAATGGAGCTGCTGTCCTGCGGTCACTCGGACTACTCACTGCACTAGGGGAAGACCCTTAGCACACCTCTGAGACAGACATTGTAATAGCTGTGCAAATTGTAGCTATGTGTTTTAATTTCGTGTGTAGGTTGAATAGCGGTGCGATCTTTTGCGGACCGCCGCGCAACTACCGTCTGCCTGCCCTAGCCTCTTTCCCAGGCCCACGCCCCTTCATTTCACCCATTCAGGTCTTCACAGTTGATCGCGTAGTATACTGGGCTCTTCACCTGTGCTACGCACGTAGGTGCAGATGCAGATCTGATAGGACTCGCTGTCGCCGAGTTGTTTATGCGATTCTGCACCGATCGTTAATTACACGGGGGTCCGCTGCGTACTAATTCAATTCCCCGCGATGAGTAGGCGTGGTCTCAGCTTCGAGTCACCAGGCGTGGTTTATTGTTGAATTGATCCATGACTAAACTTTCCGCTGTCAGAAGAAGGAGAGGGAGAGAACGGTAGGAAGAAGATATAGCTATAGCCATGGCGTCGAAGATACAGCGGCTGGTGAGCCAGGCGAGGGCTACGTTCAGAAAGGTCGGCGAGGAGCCGGCTTTCTCGGACGAGATGAAGAAGCTAAAAGAAGTGGTAAGGGAGACTAGAGAGAGGCTCATCTCAACTCTACACACATGAGTGTTGTTCGTACTAAATCTGTCTTATTGAAACGATCATGGCGAATTGTGCTATAGTGTAGTATATACACTAATACTGTGGCTGCTCGAAAGTGAGAGATTAAATTCTGACAGGTATCTGTGATTGGTAACCTTGTAGGATATTCATTGCCCTTTAGGGTACCGAAGTATATCACTGATGAGGACTTTTGCTCAGAAACGCAATCCTTGTGGGTGGTGGTGCACCTCAATGCTCCTTGCAATGCTTTGAGCGAAGACTGCAGTTCCTGCTTACACCCACCACAATGTAAAGTAGCTAGTCACACATCAAAAGGTCCAATAATGAACCTTTAACCAAAGGAAGAAGGAAGGGACTTTTGCTTTCAGATTGCTTTCTTGGAAAGCAGTAGTGTACAAGCAGCTAATGATACACATGGATACACATACATCACTATGCCATGATGCCTAATTGCTGCCCACCATAGTGTTAATAAATGAAATTTATAGCTTGTATTATGCATGTGGCTGTGTTTACAAGCTATTGCCCATTATTAGCTGTGGAATGCACCGCCAGGAGGTCAGATTACATAATCACAAAGGCCCACCGTGCAACCACTTAAACTCTGTACAACCGCCAAAAAGTATTCCAGTCCGATCTAGCTGTGTCTGTCTGTAAGCCTGAATGTTCTCCCTCTGTCCCTACTTCCTCTCCATCCTCCCTCCCTCTCTATCTCTGTCTGTCTGTAAGCCTGAATGTTCTCCCTCTGTCCCTACTTCCTCTCCATCCTCCCTCCCTCTCTATCTCTGTCTGTCTGTTTTGTTGTCTTATTTTCATTGCGCGATACAAAGGTGCAGCAAAGCTAAGAAAATCCCAGTTCATAAGTAAATAAAAAATCCTGCAATTTAAAAAAAAAGGAAGACAAGGTAGGGATGGGATATGAAGCACGGTCAACGAACATATTTGAGCATGCTGACACCCCGAGCCCATCACACAATCCCTATATTGTTGCTTAGGTGAAGTAATAATAAATCGCAGCACCCCGCTATGCAGTTCAGACCAAACTACGTGTATGCATATGTGGCATTTTTCCTGGGATTAAAACAATTTCGCACTCTTTCGCTCTCTCGTCTCTCCCAGATTAACACCCTAACATCAGAGGACTTCAACCTGTCCCCTAGCGTAGCTCGCAAGCAGTGGAACTATCGGCCGTACGTGGTGGACTCTCCCTCGTCGTGTATGGAGATTTACCAGTGTCCCGAGTTCTCCATCGGAATATTTCTCATCAAACCACACAAACACATGCCCTTCCACGACCATCCCGGCATGTACGGAGTCATGTAAGCAAACGATAGCACACTAGCAGAAAGCTGAGCATGCATGATTGTCACAGAGTGGTTTGTGAATGTCTACAGCAATTGAGCTTTATATTAAAAATTTGTTGCGCGTGGTGGCAGAAAACGTGGTAACAGACTGACAGACAGACAGAGACAGACAGAGACAGACACACAGACCAAGTATATACCGTAACCCTCGCTGCGCATGCGCGCCGATGGTTAATTAACTCTCGCTGTGCGCGCATGCGCAGCGAGGGTTACAGTACGTACTTGTCCCGTCTGTTACCACGTTTTCTGCCACCACGCGCAACAGGTCAAAAAGCGACACACCAACGGGTTCAGCGCCACACTGGCTTCATTTAAAATAGCGATTTTCGTAAAAGTGCTGCGTTCGAGAGTTATGGCATGAAAACCAAGTCAACAAGCCAATATGCTAATTACACGGGCAAACCTCGACCGGGTCCGCTCGCTCTGTATACCTTGAAGGCAAAATAAGTCACAACGAAGGGTGTGTATCGACTCACGCAAGCTATCTACTACTGTGGCTAGCCTCTGTCAGACTCTCCGCGAGCTACCAGCGGAGACAACGAGTAAACGCCTTATAGCCCCCCGCCCATATCAATTAGCGGTACCGCGCATGCGCAGTTCGCCGAGGGTTTGCACTTCAGTGCTAAGCACTATTGTGTATACTGTGGTATTGTGTTATTACAGGAAGGTCCTGTTCAGCTCAATGACAGTGACATCATACAGCAAACTAGAGGGGCAGGCCACGCCCACCCAGGGCATCCCCGTCCGCTGTCGGTTTCTCTCTCAGTTGTCGCTGGACTCCAAATCGGAGCCGTGCGTCCTGTACCCGGAGCAGGGCAACATTCACCAGATACAGGCAGGAGAGTGAGTCTTGTATTGGCCGGTTCACAATCATTGTTGTCGCAAGCTCTTGTGTTACGATGCAACACCACTTGACACAAGAGTAGATTGAGTTCTATTCAACTTGCCAGTGTAACGCTGAGGCAAAACATGAGCACAAAGACCTTTTGCTCTTTACGAGAATAACTGAATGCATATTAATTGTTGTGTTTGGGACCATTAAGTAAAATCAAAACCAAACTCTTATTTTTGAAAGATCCTGTGTGTATAGCTTTCCCCTTTCCCTCTGTCAATGTGTTTGGCACTGTGTCAAGTGCTGCGTGTATGCAACAGGATGTTACTATAAAGAGTAACAGACAGGATGTTTCTATAAAGAGTAACAGACAGGATGTTTCTATAAAGAGTAACAGACAGGATGTATGTACATGCATCCCTAGGCAACCGACATGTATGAAGCTAGGTACTGGGGGATTTTATCAGCCCATACAATCCTACATGTGCAAGCAGGGTTCGTACATGTAATTTGCCTAGGGATATCCAACAAATCTGTTGCAGTACCCAGAGAGGACAGCATGAGCCCATGCAACATTTTGTGATGGGATAGTGCTAGACAGGATACAGCTGTATGGTAGCAGTTAGTACTTTTGCAGCAATGTGTACTCAACTTGTGTATGTGCATTTTCTCTCACTCAGGGAAGCAGTGGCGTTCATAGACATACTAGCTCCACCATACAATCCAAAGGAAGGACGAGACTGCAACTACTATGAAAAGATGGTAAGCACAGTAACGAGATGACAACAACTGTTATCAAGGGGGGAATCGCCCCACAAAAACTGTTTTGTCCCCTTCCCCACGAACTAAGTATTGGCTTGTGCACCAAAGATCTTGTTATTTTCACAGGAAACTAAAGAAGATGACAAACAGAATATATCTCTAATGCCAGGACCCAATCCATCCTGGTTTTCATGTGTACCTCTGGTAAGTAACATTTATTTCAAGAGAATGTGGCAGTATGTTGTAAGGGCCAAAATATAAACTACTAACGATCGATAGGGCCCAGTACAAGAATGCAACTAAGTTTCCATTTTTAGTAACAGTTTCTATATTAAGCCCTTACGTACTGCTACATTCTCTTCAATGCGACACAACTTTTATAAGTTTGACTAAAGTCTGTATATCATATGCAACAAGCTGCATAAAATGAAGAGCTGTCTATTACTATTAATTTTGATGACTGAGAGTAAGATCAAAGGAATTCCAGCTAGTCCAAACTTGTGAGAGCTTCCTGCTGAGTGAACATAAAGAGGCCATACAATTCCCCCCCATTCTTTAGCTGCATAAACCACAGTGGGTGTACAGCTATTATAGATAGCAATTTAAAATTCATTTTTAGAGGAGTAAGGTAGATATACAATTTCATTTTTAGTACCACCTGGATGTGACAAACATGTTATGATAGCTTTGGGGCTTCAGTTTTGATAGACCACAAGGGCTGGCTATCAAAACTGGCCACTCCTGTACAACCAGTATATAGACCACAGCCGCCATGTACAACCTATACGCATACAGCATTGTGCATAGAGACCCACTCAACAAAACACTGGTATATATATTGTGTCCTATTATAATATCTTTTTCTTTTTCTATTTCTCTGTCTAGTCATACAATGGACCCTGTCCAAGTTAGTACCAGAGACTGTCAGTAGATGATGTTCTTGTGATCCTTGTTGTAAGAAGGCCAATATTCTCGTTCCCGCTCTGGGAGTAGCATTCTGTATACATTTTTCAATTGAAAATAATGTTTGTTCTCTTTCTTTTTTGTCTCTTAATTCTGGTTATCCAAACTTTGACTATGAACCTGTAAATGAACCTCACACACACTTTGAACACAACAGTTTGTGCGGGTTAACCTCAGAGAGGCAATGCTTGTCAAGTGGGTAACTTTTGTGCACATGCACAGACTGTCCCACTGTTTTTCACAAGAGAGGGATTTAAGGACACTGACGAGAAGCATGGCTCACTGCCTGGTCCTGCAATTCTAGGCATGACATGTCTGATGATGAAGACAATGCACGTCACAAAGCACTTGGCTGTCACTAATGGGTGTTGAATAGTGACAGCAATTGCTGTGTTAAAGTACATGAGGACCGGTGTTAGAACTCTGTATAATTATGTACTGTGCACTAATGACAATGACATGCTAGGAATGATGCATATGTATTGCAGAGTGCCACACCTTCAATTATTAATTATCACTGAGAGCTATTTGTTATGTTCAATCTACATCTGCATAAACTACCATGCTCATCTGTAAGCCATTGGAGGTCTATGATTCTTGATAATATACACCCTCTTCGCAAGCTGGAGTATCGGTGCAAAAGGCCATGTTATTGGAAGCTTGGACCTGGAGTGAATGCATAGGGCAGTGTGTAAGAGGTGGCCTTTGGACCAATAACTACAGCAATGGGGTGTTTGATAATGGCCATTGTACCAGCGTACCCTACCTGCCAACTCACATGTCCTGTTGTGTTAAAGTACACCTAGTACAACGTGTTCTACATAGTTCTGATCTACTAGTAGACCTGAAGTCAGGTATACAGAGTGACATAGACATGTTACCAGGAAGTAGCTAATATATAGCACCCGCAGAGCAATTAACAGCCAGTGTATAAAAAGAGCAACTACAGAATAGATTACCGATAGTATAAAACTTGTAGAACAAGGAAATTAACAACAACTAGCCCGCTCCTAAACAACCAGAAATAAACTCCAACAGGTTTGTCATTTTTTTATGTCGGATGTCATGGCGGTGGGCATTCTGGCGAATGTGGAGAGGATTTTGGAGGAATGTGGAGGGGGTTTCAGACCCCTTATTCTTAGCATTCCATCTAAGTCTTCAGTTTGTTAGTGCATTCCACCTTAACCTAGTTGTAACCACTTCCTTGTACAATCACCACAATTGAGAAAGACTGCGAAGTCGAAACGTTGTGTGTCTTTAAAAGTGTATTTTGTTGACAGCAAGCTATTACTTCCAATAGTATAAAGTTAGTGGAGGAGTGGATCTGCAGTTTTACAGACTAGTCGACTACTATCAGTGCAATATCTACCTGATTGCAATGGAGAAAAAACACTATTCAGAGCTGTCCTCATCATAATATCTTAAAAATAGCAACTACCGATAGTATAAAGTTAGTGGGAGGAGTAGATCTGCAGTTTTCAAGTACTATCAGTGCAGTACCAACCTGATTGCAATGGAGAAAAAGACACGAAAACGCAGGTATCTATTCAGAGCTGCCCTCGTCATATCTTTGTGCGTAACTGTCGTCTATTGCCTGAGAAACACATACTCCCAGACTGCACTGCTCTGTGCACAGCAAGAAGTGGGCTACTCAAGAGGTGAGACCTCAGAGACATTCTTCCTGACTGCTGATGAAGGCAACCACCTCAAGTACTCTCAGTTGCTTCAGAGCATCCTCAGATCTTACCAGCATTATCACGGAGTCAGGAGAAAGGAGTTGGCAGCTGGGAACACCTCCAAGACCCTCACCTGGTACTGTATTTCAGGTTGCAATGGAATTGGCGACCGAGTGTTTGGAATGCACGCAGCATTCCTGCTGGCCGTAGTCACAAACAGAACCTTCTTTATCCACCAGAGTGATGAAGTTCAGAGGACCATGTTCCTGGAGCCCAGTGCTATTGACTGGAGACCAATCCACAAGTGTGTTGAACTCAGCAAAGACAAGACATTTGAGCATTTTGGTCGCCCTAGCCTATTTCAAATGAAGGTATTTGGAATGAAAAGTAACTTCAGTTTGGAATTAAACAGACTGAATGATGTTGATAACATATATGTATCAGATAGAAAGGGGATTAATGCTGATATAAGGGATATTCTCCACTCTGATGTGGGTGCCAATCTGAGTCCACTGCACCGCAGACTCCTTCAATCAATTCTAAAATCAGGAGCTGGTGCAAGTCTACACTCCTTTGTTACCGTGCTTTTCCAGTATCTCTTCCGTCTGCCACATCAAATCCAAATGACGACTGATCTAAAATTGACTCAGCTCAAACTTCAGCCACGTGGGTTTGTCACTGTTCATATTCGCACAGGATTTAAGAGTAGTCTACTAGGAGAGCTTGTTGGCTCAAAGGAATTCTTTAAAGGAGAGAGATTTGTACGGAGAAAAGACTCATGGCGAAGCATGATTGACTGTGCAATTAGGATATCTGATTCAAGGTTTGGTAAAAACAGCACAATACTGGTGGCATCAGACGACAGAGAGCCAAAGATCTGGGCAGCCTCCGAGTACAAGTCCAAGGTCACAATGCTCGACATTGACCCTGTTCATGTAGCTAATAAGCCAATATTGGGGGTTTTCAGGTCCAAATCAAAGGATGTGTATCTGGATACGTGGGTGGAGCTGTCCGTCATGTCACAGTCATCAGCCATTGTGGGTATATACAGTGGCTTTGCTGAAGTGGCAAGTCACATGGGATCTATGGATCCTCGCTCTGTCTATATCTACAATATCCATGAGAACACGTGCAATCACTTGACATAGGTCTCTTTTTAGCTGTTTTTGCTAATCTAGCTACGGCAACTGCAGAAGTGCGTCGTTTTCGCGCATGCGTGCCCGTCATTAATTACGCAGCGGTGGCCCCGGGCGGGGTGCCGCACCGTACCGTACACTCTGCTGGGACACAGGCTTGGATCGATCCCGTGAGTTTGGTATGACTGACAAGGGTAACTAAAGGGTCCGTGTGACTAGTCAGTGGCGGGATATCTAGCTAGATAGCCAACTATGATCGCTTCAAAAACAGTCCAGACCCCCAGAGATATTATGCTATATAGCTCTATCAGCCAATATTCATTCTTGTTAGCTACCGCAGGAAAACGGTTCCTAAACTGGCTGAGAGCACGTACGTATCAACCGTCACACTTAGCTCTCATTTAGCTCTCATTTGTAATGTTCAGGGAACATGTTTGGCATATTTTCAGTAAATGTGGTCAGCAATACCAGGTTGCGTAGTGAGAGGATTTGTACTAATAAGTGCTGTTGTTTCCAGCTATAATTATGCAACTTCAGGTGCAATGAGAAGGAGATGCAAGTTGTATCTATTCAGAGCTGCCCTCATCATATCTTTGTGCGGCGTAACTGTCGTCTATTGCCTGAGAAACGCACACTCCCAGACTGCACTGCTCTGTGCACAGCAAGAAGTGGGCTACTCAAGAGGCGAGACCTCAGGGACATTCTCCCTGACTGCTGATGAAGGCAACCACCTCAAGTACTCTCAGTTGCTTCAGGACATCCTCAGATCTTACCAGCATTATCACGGAGTCAGGAAAAAGGAGTTGGCAGCTGGGAACACCTCCAAGACCCTCACCTGGTACTGCATCAAGGGTGCAGGTTGCAATGGAATTGGTGACAGGGTGATTGGGATGTGTGTGGCATTCCTGCTGGCCGTGGTCACAAACAGAACGTTCTTTATCCACCAGAGTGGTGCAGTTCAGAGCACAATGTTCCTGGAGCCCAGTGCTATTGACTGGAGACCAATCCACAACTGTGTTGAACTTCGCCACGACCAGATGCTAGCACATTTTGGCCGCCCTAGCAACTTTCAAAAGAATTGGCTAATGGTGACAATGAACTTTAGTTTGGAGCTAAACAGGCTCAGTGACTTTGACAGCATCTATATATCAGACAAAGAAGAGTTTTACGAAACCATAATGAGTATTAGGCACTCTGTGATATACGATAACCTAAGTCCACTGCACCGCAGACTCCTTCAATCAATTCTAGAATCAGGAGCTGGTGAAAGTCTACACTCCTTTGGCACCGTGCTGCACCAGTATCTCTTCCGTCTGCCACAGCGTGTGCAACAAATGGGTCTTATGAAACTGAATGAGCTCAAACTTCAGCCACGTCGGTTTGTCACTGTTCACATTCGCACGGGTTTCAAGAATAGTATGTTTGGAGAGATATTGCTAACCGAAGAATTCTTTAAAGGAGAGAGATTTGTACGGAGAAAAGACTCGTGGCGAAACATGATTGATTGTGCAATTAGGATATCTGATTCAAGGTTTGGTAGAAAGAGCACAATACTGGTGGCATCAGATGACAGAGAGCCAAAGATCTGGGCAGCCTCCGAGTACAAGTCCAGGGTCACAATGCTGGACATTGACCCTGTTCATGTAGCTAATAAGCCAATATTGGGGGTTTTCAGGTCCAAATCAAAGGATGTGTATCTGGATACGTGGGTGGAGCTGTCCGTCATGTCACAGTCATCAGCCATTGTGGGTATATACAGTGGCTTTGCTGAAGTGGCAAGTCATGCGGGATCTTTGGACCCTCGCTCTGTCTATATCTACAACATTTCTCAGGAAACCTGTACCCACTTGACATAGTATTTATATCACTCTTTCGATGTTTGATCCTTAGTTCTGGCGCATTGCGGGAGGGAGGAAGGTAGAACAATTTGCACGACTTGTAAGGAAATATCACCAGATACTGTGGGTGTGTTTCGTCTCCTGGGTGTGGGATGCAGAGGGTGCGCATCATCCACAATACACTGCGCATCATCCACAATACACTGCGCATGCGTGCGTGCGGGCGCCGCGGATAGCGAGCGCGCGTGCGCAGTGCGTAGCAACAACAGCGAAGATTCCCAGCTCACGATTCGATCACCACGACCACTTTTCAGTCGAATTGAGTGCTGTAAAACTGTGACCTAGTGCTGCTAACTTTTGTAACTATGGCATCAGTTGCAAGGAAATGTACACTGAAGCAGGTAGGAGAATCATCACCCTTGTGATGCATAGCTGTATTTGTATGTTTATAGCAAAGAAACAAGCAGTCTGTAGCTGAAAGGTCTAAAAGTAAGTTTTTTTCTCATGTGAGAGTACGGTCAGCTATGTTTTGCCCTACAGAGCTAACTCAGAGCCACACGTCTCAAATCTCGGCTCTCAAAGCCAACAACAGACAGCTTGCTACAGCACTCGGTGAGTAGAACAACCAACAAACACAACATGATACAATATAACAGTAATCTGTTGAATGCATACATTAGTATATGTGTGGGAATGGGAGTTGTTCAGTCGGCTGGAGCCAGTTGTCTTTGCTCCACTCTGACCTCCCGGCATCGTACATATGAAACGTGAAGATATTCCGCGATCGTTTGGACTTGTTCTCTTCGCTCTTGTGAACAACCTCTCCATGGATGAGCACCATGCCTCCCTTCTTGACTGGGACAGGCACAAATCTCTGTGGATCTATCCTTGGATCCTCTCCCTCGAATTTGAGCTCGATACGTCCGTCTTTCACTGTTCTCAGCATGCGGCGGCCGATCCCTGTTGTGTGAGTGCCTGGAGCAAACCAGAGACATCCGTTCTCTAGGTCAGCGTCCTCCAGGGCTATCCACACTCCGTAGAGTCTCATGGGGCTAGTGTAGAGAAACGTGGAGTCTTGGTGGGTGTTTACCTCCCCACCAAAGTGAGGCTGCTTGAATATCACCATGCTCTGGACCACAGCCGGTTTCTGCAGGTCCAGCGACCTGGCAAGCTCGCCCATCCGTTCTCCCAGGGCGACCTTTTGGAATTCTGGCTCCAACGCGTGCAGAGCATGGCCTATTTTGTTGAGCGACTTATCCACGGCTCCCTTCAGCTTTCCTTCCCCGTCCAGCGCCCCTTCCTCGAAGAAGAATCGGATTTTGTCCCCGCTGTTGATGAAGTAGTCCGTCTTCACGTGCTGGGACTCCTCGTCTCGGCGTGTGCTGAAGGTGGTCGTAGGATGTAGGTTCAAGTCCGCCTCCGCTATGATGTCGTAGGTACGCTTTAGGAGAGCGTCGCACTGAGAGTGAGAGAGAAAGCTCTCCAAGAGGAGATATCCGTCTCTGTGAAACGCCTCTACCTGCTCCGGTGTGAGCGCCATAGTGTGTGCAGCTGTATTGCCCCGCCCACACAATTTAACGCATGCGCGCGACAACTGCTTTGCGTTGTCATGTTGCAGACGAACTTCGGCAGGATTACCGAAAGCTGCAGCAGGAGAATTTGCAGCTGAAGCAGGAGCGACAAAATTTGCTGGAGAAGGTGGCCAGTCTCGAGAAAACAGCCAGAAGAAATTCCTTCTCAGAGGTATATATTAGAAATACATGAAATTATAGTTCATAGGTATATAGATAGATAGATAGATAGATAGAGAAATAAATAAAAACCACCACCACCATATTTACAAACCCCAAAATATCCACATAAAACACATACACAAATACACATGACATGACATGTACACCTCTCTTTTCTGATTTTGCTCTGTATTTGTTTATGATTTATCTTCAATGCAGTTATTGAAAGAGGCACAGAGTAAACTGCGCGATGTTCAGTCGTCACTTGATTACGTCCTAAAGACCTCCCGGGAATCTCCGCGATGCAAACAGTTGGGACAACCCTCCTCTTCGTCTTCCAAGAAAGTGCTTCGGTTCAGCTCACCAACTCAAGCCAAACGCTGCACCATATACCCGAGAACTCCTCACCCACTGCACAACATGACGTGTGTGGTAGACGGACCACAACTGGCCTCAACTCCGGTCAAGACGGGGCCGCCCAGCGGACCCTGTCTCCAGCTGCACTACAGTGACTATAGCGGGTCCCCAGCCAAGGAACCAGGAACCTCTGCTGCCACAGAACCAGGGAGTGGGAGAGACCCTGCCTCTGAAGCAAAGGAATGTGATATTTCCCCGATTGGAGAGCTGATGAAGAGGGAGGCCCCTGTAATCATGGTCCAAAATTCCACCCTGGACCAGTTTGAAGATGCACTAGGTGAATACGACATGGAAAATTTGGATTTGTGGTTAGGCAGCACATAAAACATGCTATATTCCACGACTGCCAAGTTTAAGTGTCACTCTCCAATGGGTATGGGTAACTTCTGTCCCTCAGCTGGTGGGACCAATATGTCTATGAGTGCTCTGAGACCAAGAAGAAAGTGTGCCTCTCTCTCACTTTCCTATCAGGAACCTAGTCTGAAATGGTATGTCTTCGGTTCATCCACACACGCACTTTTGAAAACATTTTGGTCGGTGTTCAATCTGTACACATTCTACTTGACATTGCTGTACCGTGGTAAAATTGATTGGCAGTAAATTGAGGAGAGGGGACCCATTTACCGACCAGGCAGCAGCTGACTGGAATCTTCCAGATCACAAGGATCGGAAGAAGAAGACGAGTGGGAAGAGTAACATTCTCACACAGGTTTGCCACAAAAACTAGGATTTGACATATATTGTCTACTTCTTTTCGCTACAGAGGAAAGTACTACGTGAGGTTCAGAATCAACTGTAGACTGAACTGAACACTTGCTCCATGCCATCTCTCTTATGCTCAGTGTTTTAATTGTGTCAGTATGATGGTGCATATACATTGCTTTCATGTCAAGTGTATAAATGTACAGGTGTTCATTCCTTAAATGTTCAATATTACTTTCTTGTCTTCTCTATTTATGAGTACTGTTCCTTTCAGCAGTCCATTGTCGACGTTGAAAATCATCTGTTGAACAACCGTCTCCATACTATCTCCTGGAGTATTCAATTTCCACTGGATACTTGCCTGGTTGTTGTCAAGAGATGGTGTAATATTGCATTGAAATGTTGGTATAATTATACCTGATAGAGTGGGTCACCTTGCTCTTGTTCTAGAGTAGATATCGTCACGGATTCCAATGGTTCTTCAATCTGCAGGTCAACACATCAGTATTCACTAGCATATCGAGCTAAGACCCATCTCCCCTCCACACTTAAAGCTCATGTTCATAGCTACATCATAATATAGTATAGTAGCTCACCTCAAACTGAGTCTCAATCTCTCTCTGAACACTGGACTCCACTACTGAGAGGTTGGCTTGTGGACTCACATCTGACAGTGCCTCCGTCCTACCCCGCAGAGCATCCTACACACACACCACACAACCATGTACCACCATAGGCAGTCTCTTCCGTGATATAATAGAACCAGTGTTTACTCTGAATTTTTGAAGAATTCGTTCTCCGGGAAAATCTTTGTCAACTGCAAGGGGGAGACATTTTTTTACTGAAAATGCAAGAGCCGCAGCCAGTTCATTATGTATACCACAGTGGTAGGTTAGTTGATCTGAGACTGGATAAGGAAGGTTTGATGGATGGATGTATTCTCCGAGGCACACTTGTCCTTCTTCGCAATCACTGCCGTCTCTACACTCCTGTACAGATATGACCTAATAACACACGCATAGCTATGGAGTGAATGGTGCCCATGTCTTAACCTCTGCTGGACACGGTGGGCAAATATTGCCTCCACAGTCGACACCAGTCTCATTGTTGTTTCTCAATCCATCACTACATGAACCTGTAGTGTAGAACACGTAACTTGTTATGGGTGACATCCCTCTACACCAAATGCTCACTAATGTTGCAGTAAGCTCCGCTCCACTCTGTCATACAGGCACAGACACCAGTTACAGAGTGGCAGAGACCTCCGTTCTGGCAAAGACATTCCTCTGTGCAATCTTGACCAAAATATCCCTCTGGACACTCTATAAGCGTAAGAACACACACTGTGGCTATGTATAATGGGATATATACAGAGAAGTGTCAACTGACCGCCTTGGCAATGAGGTCCAGCGAAACCAGGGAGACAGTGGCAGGTCCCATTTGTAGGATCACATGGAGACACTTCGTTCTCTGACGCACAACTACAGTTTTGTAGACAGCCCGCTCCATACGTCCCTGGCAAACAGGCTGCAACACACAACCAATATGCATGCACAGTGATACTTATAGAGGTTTTACTAGCTACAGATAAATTGTCATAATAGAGCTACAGCTTACCAGAACTGCAGTTTCCCCCCGTGTAGCCATCATTACAGACACACTGACCCACAGATACATCGTATAATCCATTCACACACTCTTGGGGGCAATCTGAAGCCAGAAGACAGTGAGGTAAGAGACATTATGATGCTGGTGCTCTAGTATATATACCGCAAACAAGCTGCTCCTCTGTTAGATCAACGATCTCGACACTGCTCAGACTGGGAGGAGAGCTACATGCTCCAAGTAATGTTCCAGTAAACTGAGAGGAGCTCAGGAAACGTGGCAGCCAGCGCAGGGCACAGTCACAGTTTATTGGGATTGTTTGTTAGATCTCTGTAAAAACAGCAGTTATTCCCTGAATACAAAATCGTCCGTAAATCTCTACTAGATACACATACATCGATCAGAAAAACAAGGTTTTACTAGATTTCCTAGCACAATACTTCTTACATTGATGTAAGGTTAGGTGCACTTGTGAAAAGAGACCGAGGAAGTTCTTGTAGCTGGTTATCTTGAAACTCACTGTTTACATAGAACATTCATTACATGTCATTCTGTGCCATTATACTTACACTATCGTAAGCTGGGTTACAGGAGAAAATGTCCCTGGTTCAATAGCCTGTATATTGTTTGAAGAAATATACCTGGAAAAGACCTCATTTAGCTTTTTGATGGACAAAGCTTTAGTGAAAGCTTACAGTTCTTTCAATGAGGTGAAGTTCGCAAAGTCATCAACGGAAAGCGACGTAAGACCGTTCAGATTGATATAGCTGCAAACGACAACATAAACGTACACTCGGAAGAGACACACTAGCTAAATTTTCCTCACAGATATTCCACCTGCTGTCGATCGGCGACCGGGATGTTTGGGAAAGACGTCAGTCCAAGGGCGGTGCAGCTAATCGTGTCAGTGCCGCATCCAGCACACGGGCAAGTTTGAGCCTCTGCTCCTCTCAAACCATAACCTGCCAGCAAAAGCCAACAGAAGACTGCCAGCGCCGCCATTGCGAGCCCCGCCTCCAATTTTATGCTAAACTAGCGCACGCGCTTATGTACATGAGGTCAAAGGGGTCGTCGTGGAAGAGACGGACGAAGAACCGTGATCATGGCGAGTTCTTCAGCCGGCGTGGTTCCCAGGTTAGCAAACCGGATACAGCTGGATGCTCAAGTGGACGAGCAGCGTCAGAGAGAGTACGAAGCTCTGGTGGGTTTACGGCAACACCATACCTATTTCGTCCAGTCAATCTAGCTATTTCTCTATTACCTCTGTTAGGAGAAGGAGTTTCAGTGGCTTCTTGAGTACGAGTACACGCAGAAAGTCGAAACAATTAATAAATGCATACAGGTATATATAAGCTAACCAGTGGAATTTACAGATATTGTGAAATCCTACAGGACTGCCTCAAGAAGTTTTCAACGGTCTTGCAACCCGCGGGAGGTAAGATACATTACGTCTCAGTATAATATGGAATTTGCCTGTGGCTAGCTGTGGCAAAGATTTATTGACGCCGTAATAAATTCAGGTGCAGATCACAGGCCCATCCTTCTGAGCTCTCCACGGCAGTAAGTCATTCATAAAACTTCCATCTAGATCATTAGTTGTTGACACACACACACACACACACACACACACACACACACACACACACACACACACAGTAGTAGGGTAGTGACTCTAGAATGTTATGTGACTACTGGCATGTGTCCCTTCACAGGGGAGATGGTGTCTACTGCCTGGCAGCAGTCAGTGGGGACAAGATACTAAAAGCAGTAAGTCTGCACCCACCTGACCACCATAGGTAACACCACTTACGTAAAGTAAGCAATTCAACATCCAGTAAGTAACCCGGGTTCACCTTGGTCAGAGTCTGGGTGTGTTCTGGTGCTAGACTGAAAATGTGCGTAACGTAGTATGTGTGTAACTCTGTGTGTATGTAGTTGTGTTGCTGAGATCACGCTGCGTGTCAACTCTGGCATCTAGTATGCAGCTCATAGAGTTCAGGTTGCTTACCCCGACAGCGGCAGGGGAAGCAAGGCTCTCAAGACGTTCATCAAAGAGCACGCAGCCGTGAAACTCAGACAGATCCAGGACTCGGCGAACTTCTTCCAGCTGGCAAGGGACAAGTTTGGCGTCATACGACAGAGCGGGGAGAGTCTGCGGACGCCGGACGAGATACACCAGAGTTTCAGCGGACTCTGTTCGTCTCTGAGAGCTGCGGAAGAGATGCTCATAGTCCCACAGCTGCCCAATGTGCAGGACCTCTACACCGCAGAAAACAGAGTCAGTTCACATGCACATTTGAAGCCTCAGTATGGACACCAATGAGGCAGAGGAAAGTATTAGCGATGTGTTTTCCATCATTTGGCAGTTGGGTTGTGTGTATAGAAAGACCTTATAGGGGTACTTGGTTTGGCACCAATTTTCACGACCAATATGGCCTTGCAACACCAAGCTGATGGTATTAGAGTGACCCTGAAGTGTAGAAAGTATACACTCAAATCCTCTCCCGTGCTGATAGAATGGCCATTATTAGCAGCGACTGTTCCTTTGTTTTAGAGTCACATGAAGCCAGAGCTACCAGAAGACCTGGCCCTCCATTTCCACATCAGCTCAGTCTACCTGGTCTTGACTGTCCTCATTGTTGCACCGAGTGCCAAAAGACCTTCTTCAGTAAGACAAATGTCACCTTCGTCAGTAATACAATGCCATTCAAAGCCCTCGAGGGAAAATTTTTCACAACTAGGTAGAGTTATTTGAGGGACAAAGAGTGCAGATTTAAACCTTGTGTCGTATGCGTTTGCCGGCTTCAAAAGAATGTACATATAATATAGTCCTGTGCTGTTCAAAATACTGGGTATCTAGTTCAATACTATATATACCTGCTTGTGCTTCGTGAATTGGTAGGTATAATTATATGAAGTTCTGTTTGGTAGGTATGAAGTTCTGTTTGGTAGGTATGGAGTTCTGTTTGGTAGGTATGGAGTTCTGTTTGGTAGGTATGAAGTTTTGTTTGTAGGTATGGAGTTCTGTTTGGTAGGTATGGAGTTCTGTTTGGAGTTCGTTTGGTAGGTATGAAGTTCTGTTTGGTAGGTATGGAGTTCTGTTTGGTAGGTATGGAGTTCTGTTTGGTAGGTATGAGTTCTGTTTGGTAGGTATGGAGTTCTGTTTGGTAGGTATGAAGTTCTGTTTGGTAGGTATGGAGTTCTGTTTGGTAGGTATGGAGTTCTGTTTGGTAGGAATGGAGTTCTGTTTGGTAGGTATGAAGTTCTGTTGTACAGGGACAGAGTCAGAGAAGCAGTGGTGTGTGTGACTCCGACACTCAGTGGATTGGAGCAACTTTGTGAGCTTTACTTTATACCTCAACTGTGACTTATATAGTGCTTTTCTTTCTTCCACCAGCGAGTATGGGTCTAATGTATACGAGGTTGTCAATCAACTACAAGTAAGTGGAAAGTCTGTTGTATATACCACAGTGAAATCTATTTGCCATTCCAACAGTAGCATTATGGGATCTCTCATTCTCACTGCATTGTGTGTATGTATATAGGTCAAGTCCAAAGTGCCTTGGCTAGCGGATGTCTTGAAACTGTTGCAGGAGGCACAAGAACTATCACAGGACCTCATTGACAAGGTTTGCCTAACCGGCACTGGGTGGTAGCAGTGGATGTGTCTGGCTTGTGTTTCAGGTGACGTTGTTCAGATCAACGGGCCTGACAAGAAAGTAGAGGATTCCCATGCGTGTGGCAGTTGGACATTTTAAATCATTGTTGTGTGACAGCTTTGGAATTGTACTGTCTACGAATACCAAATTCAAGCGATTTCACACTGGACCATAAATTTTCGAGGCACATTTTGTCGTCGATCAGCAGATTTTTTCTGCTGGACCTCTATAAATGCAACACAATCGTGACTTCCTTTTACCACTGAAAACTTGGTACGTATATCAACCTACGCAGGCTTGTCCTATGGTTTCGTATGCACATGTAACTCTCAATATGCAGTCAGTTTAGCCCATAGTATTAATATGTAGGAATACTCTGAGTAAAGCCCATAGTATTAATGTAGGAATACTCTGAGTTATGTGACCTGGAAAAGTTTCATCAAATGAATAATAACATCATCACATGTTTGGTTGCGGGCTGACATGACAGAGAGAGTATGTTAGTGTAACCTGCAGTAGTGCCATGTTATATGTATACTCTGGTTCCTCTGACACGCAATATGTCAGCGAGTCTTTCTCGATTTTACAAGTTTCTGGACCTCCGCCTCGTCACGGCGTCTGGCAAAGTTCTGCGCCATCGAGTGGACGATGGACACGATAAAGTAGACAATCATCAGAAACATAAAGCCTCCAAATATCTTTGACAGAAGACTGGTACGCTGCAAGAGATAACAGACACAATTGCAGCAAAACGTTAGTAAAAAAAAGTCGAACGCCCTTCAAATATGGACAACTGTATATATGACCTCTAAATGCTACACTCTGCTTCACATTTTACCTTCAAATATGGACAACTGTAGATGCTACAACATTGCCTCACATAAAAACTGCAGTGTCACCTACTAGCTATAATATTATAGTGAGACTCACCATTTCATGAGGAGAGCTTTGTTTTCTGTGCAGTTTCAGCTTCTGAGTCTCCAGATAGTCACTGAATGGAGCTTGCACGTATGGACCAATGTATGGCACCTTACTGTAGAGCAAGAAAGACACTTTACATATAGTCAACATATTAGAGTCCTTACCCTATCAAGTCTACTATCAGCTCTACATGGTGCTCACTGAACGCTAATATGACAAACACTTTCTGGAAAAGAATAGAGATGAGTTACAAACTTCAGCCAATCGTACAGAACGTAGTCGAATAAGCAAAGAGTAATTGTACACAAAACACTCAAACATTAGGTTTTTCTGCGCGCAGGTGTCAATTTTCACTTGTGCATTGCTTTCAATTGTCGCAGCATATCTTTTATATACCAGTATGATCCTCAACAAGAACACGGAAGAAAGCCGACGGAGCACAGTATATATAGATACCTGTATGTGCATCTTGATGACGGCCTTTCCGATGAGAGTAGCTCCAAAGAAAGTCCAGAAAGGTATGAGGAAGTGGCCACAGGTTATCCCAGCCAGATCAAATAGAGGGTTGGGTATCTGCACAGGGACACACCCACCATGCTTTATAGCTGTATAGAGTACAAGTATACTACAATGACCATGCTTTATAGCTGTATAGAGTACAGTGTATACTAGAATGACCATGTCTCCAATAATAGTTGTACTAGTGAACAATTGATAGACAAGGTATATAAATGTGGGAGGAAGAGCTCTCCTGTGCTAGAGACTGTGTGTGTGTGTGTGTGTGTGTGTGTAAGTCTCACTGAGGCACAGAGCAGTATGCCGAAGAAGCCAACTCTTTCCACCAGTCGGTGCACTGCCTTCTTCGCTCTGGTTAGTGGGTCCTGCACACCACCACAACAACACACTCTACCTACTGACACTGACAAGCATTAAAGTGCATGTGCGCCAAGGGCTAAGGACAGAGAATTGACAAACAATATGCACACACTGCCTACATCGAGAGAACATAATTTTGGGGTTACCTTTCTCTGAGAGTGGAGGACAGCCTCCAATTCTTCATAGTCAGGATCCTCTTCCTCGTGACCTGATAATCTCGCTGCATTCAGTGAAAACGAACACTTTATAATGTGTATTTACTGGTGACTGTATAGGGTGTCTTCTTAGGAACTTGGGGCAAACTGCTACCTATTGCCTCTCGTATGCATATACAGTGAAACCAATGGGACATTGAAAGTGTCCTTTATTCAAAAGTTTCCCTATTTGGGTAGAAGTAAAGGGCAGTAGAACCAAGAGTCCTTTATTGGAGGGTCCATTGTAGGGGGTTCCCCTAACAAACACCAATCACTTTTCACTGAGACACCAGAACAGTTGATTGGTTGACACCTAAACACACTTCAAGGGTCAGTGCAGTGGTACCAAGTGACTAGTGTTTGTTAAAGACATTGGTCAAAGTGTAAAAATTTAGTATGCATGTCCAATGTATGAGTGCATGCTGAATAGCTGTAGATAATAGAGCACCCATTGTGCAAATGGACGTGAGCCACATGTACCTGCTCTTGCCATAAAGTAAGGAGGCAGTTCTCCAAGAGCCGTCCCTGCCCCCTGTCCACGTTGAGAGGGAGGAGGGGAGAAAATGAGGGGTAACGACAGGGTGAGGGTCACCTACCCACATGAAGGACTCCCACCGAACTTTGCTCATGACAGTCCAGAACGTGACTGGATACAGACTTGGCTCCTCGGGACACACAATACTGCACCACATACACAACACGAATATAAAGGAGTAGATAGAGGCTCAGCAGAAGGTTTATAAATGGTAAGGAGAAGGTTCTTGCAGAGCAAAGAAGCTAGAAGAAGGGTTACTAAGTGCAGGTCTCACTCTAGAGGGTAGGGGGGCTCGGGGAAGTCGACAGACTCGCAGTCGAAGGCGGCGATGGTGACGGAGGCGATGTAGGGTCCCAGGTAGAGGATGAAGGTGTGGAGACCGGTGCCAAGTCCCACGCTGGAGAGGATCCCCAGCCCCACCCAGTAGCCCCACCACAACATCTTCCGCTCCTGTCGCAACACAAACTGCAACGACAGAAACACAGAGAATCAAAATATTAGAATGCTAAGGGAATGTGGTAGTATATAAGACTAAGATCATAGGACTTGGTGCAAGATTGGCAAAATTGCAAATGCAATTGCGGTACTGTTTTTAGCAACATTTTCTGAATTTAGCCCTTATATGTACATACATGCCAACGCATTTCCTTTGATATAAACTGCTGTTCTTTGTACAAGCTTACCGGTTGGTGAGGACCATCAAGGTAGTGACTGGCAAGGTAAACCACTAGTAGAAGTATGAACAGAGTGACCTTCACTTTGTGCTGTAGAATGCTGTGCAATGGGAAAACGAAATAGTAGCCATGATTTTTTATATCAGGGGGCCAAAAATTGGGCTTTGAGAAGGAATCAAGCTAGCACTACACGCACCTACTTATTGATTCAGTTCGGGGCAAACCATCTTCAGGGGGCAAATTGCTCGAAAACCCTTGGCAACTGACCCGTAGGTAAGTCGCCGTGCCTCGTAAATAAGCTCCCACAAGAAGCAGTGAACAGTCTGCACTGGTCTCCTCCAGAGAACCAATTTGGACCGCTCCTTCTTCTGGCTCCCTCTCAGGGCCTCCACTTCCGGAGCTGTTGAAGTAATGCAGGGAGAGAGCTACATAAGTACAGTGGAACCCTCCAGACACCCAATGGGACAGAATCAGCAGTGTGTTCCGAGAGGTGGCTTTCGCGAAATGCACGAAAGAACTGTTCTTGGGGGAAAGAAAAGGGTCTTTAGTCCTAATTTCAGGGGTTGATTGAGTGCGGGAAGTGTTCTAAGGGGAAGATCGTAGAGGTGCCCTCAATTAAAGGGTGTCCTTAGAGAGATATTCCACTGTACAATACGTAGCACATTTGCGTTTAGTCACGTTGTGCAGTAGAAAAATCAGACACAGTCAAGTGCATTCTGGTCATGAATTCACAAACTAATGAAAACTGTGTTTCACAGCATGTTACCAGATGACCTATCGTGGTGTACACCCACACATGTAACGTACATCTGCTGCTTTGCCTCTCCAGCGAAGAAGTCGGTGTTTGCAATGATGGCGCAGTCTCTACCACATGGTTATTGGGTGCAGCATTCTCACTACCATGACTGCTATCTGCATATACATACAGCCAGTGAAAGACCCATCTAGCGCCTACAAGTTATTACATGCAGATTGCCTCACCAGTATTTCTGTTCCGTCTTCGCTTTTTAGGAGACATTGCCGAGAACAGTCGTACTGTAGGTGCGCAACAAATAGAGTTATCCCAACACAACTCCGTAACAAGCTGGCGAAAGACGGTTTGTGCATTGTACATTTCCTGGAAGTACGGACAAGAGAAAAAACAGCAACATACCTTCGAATATCGCGTCTGTGTAGTCTAAATATCTTTCTGTTTTGCTGCTCTGGGGTGTGTATAGTTGACCACGCTGCTAGGCACGTGCGCTGGACTTGGGTCACATGACAACAACCTTGACCGAGGAGAGAAAGATCAAGGTGGATCAGTTTACTACGTGGCCTGGACCTCTCTACTCCCTGCACGCTCGACTCCATGCAATTCAGCAGTGACCCAGTGCACTGAAAGGTACTTTGATCCACGCATTTTGTGCTGCTGGCCCCGAATCCAGCATTCACACATAACTGAGTTTGCCATGTTGTATACGCTACCACCTATAGCGCACGTTTCTCCCGTAGATACTAGCTTCAGTTTATGACAGTTTTGAGCACGTCTAGTGTGTCTTTTGTGGCGATCACTGCTGTATTCGTGGTTACCGTTCGTATGCTGGTCTCCACCGGTAGAGCCAAGGGTCAGAGGCGAGACATGGGAGCTGGGAAATCGAGACAAGTACCGTTCTCCTACGAGGAGGCCTGCCGGAGAAGTGAGTACCGCTATACATTGAGTCTCACCTCCAATCACAACTCATTGATTCATCCCTTACTGTATGCTGGCGGCCCTTATAAATCACACATAACAGTTATCAAAGAAACTGTCCATGTACGTGAAGGGTGCTTATTTTCCACATTATGATCCTGTGATTTATTGTTGGCCTTACAGAGTATCTTTCCCATACCATCGTTGTGTATAATACCAGTTCTCTAATGCCTCCTTCTTTGTCGGTAGTTTACTTTACAAAGTATCCCATCATAATATCTAGCGGAATTATTTCTTTCTCTCTCTCTCTCTGTAGTTGATCCCCCAGTCCTGGCTCGTATTGAGGAGACGTTCAGGCGATCGTTCGCGACAACGGGGTACCTCCCACAGAGCACCTTTTCCAGGGACATTCTGGGTGACATCGTTCCTTCCAAATTAGCTGAGGTATTATGGGAGCAGTGAACTCTAGATGTTGTAGTTATTATAAGGATGGACGTGGTACCTAGCATCATAGGTGTATGGGGCTATGATAGGGAGTTTTGTTTATCCTCTTTTTTTGGAAATGTGCTGTGTATAAACAAATACTCAAGACAAAGACGGTTTTTGAAAGTGAGCCTTGACATATTAGTATCTTATGTATGTCCTTATACTTAATAACCATACTATTAGCATTATAGGCAAGCAAGTTAACTCTCCCACTTGTCTGAATTTTTCATACCGTTTTTCTTAGATCTTCTAAACAATGCACACAGGTGTGTGTACCAACGTCGCATTATACAGCGATTCAAAGGTCCCTATGACCCCCTCACATGATAGTGTGCATCCATTCTATTGCAGTGGGTATATGTACATTGTAGGTGTGTATGGTCCTAGGGTGAAGGGTAATTATGCTGCACTAAGTACAGTTTCTTTACGTTGTAACTAGCAATATCTTTTGTTGGATATCCCTAGGCAACCGACATGTATGAAGCTACATAGGTACTGGGAGATTTTATCAGCCTATACAATCCTACTTGTGCAAGCAGGGTTCATACATGTCATTTCCCTAGGGATATCCAACAGGGCTCATCTAATTATCTGGGTTCATACATGTCGGTTGCCTAGGGATATCCAACAAACCTGTTGCAGTACCCAGACAGGACAGCATTTGCCCTTACAGGCTCATGCTGTCCTGTCTGGGCACTGCAACATATACATACTTATCGTACCAAGGTGTAGTTGTATTGGCATTACAATCCTAAATTGTAAAAAGGTGACTCCCTAAACTCTACTTTGTGGGTATTTGCATTAAATCGTAACTTGATCTTGAAAGCAAATCCCCACTCTAACGACAACGTGGAGTGAAAATATTCCTGTTATATCGTGTGTTCACTCCACTCCGTGGTGGCCCCCCACAGGAGCTGTATCGTGGGTTCGGAGGGACTCAAAAGGGACTGTCCCTGAAAGACCTGGTGTGTGGACTGGCGTTGCTGGCCCACGGCTCCGTGGACGAAAAGGCAAAATGTGAGGACACTATTACATGTATACATACGTACGTACATAGTATACCGTATAGCGGGACACTTTTGAGGAAGAAACGTTCACAATTTGGTTGCGAGTAAGATTCCACCAACTTTCGTGGTTTCTGTACAAAATTTACAACCTGCCTACAAAATTGCGTGGAGAAGAAATTCGAAGTTACTGTTGGCTGTGTTATGACTGTACTGACTATGTACCAATCATGAATATTACATGTGTGCCTTGCAAACCTCATTGTTTATTTACATGCATATGTCACCTATACATATGTAGACACTATGTGTATATGTACGATTGCTGAATCATGTCCTATACATGACACATACCTAGTGCCGTTGGACGTACATGTGCATAATGATTGTGTTGGGGATTTACAAATTCACTCATTGGGATTGCATGTGTGTAAATCTCTAACAGTGTTTAGAGTACGGCCGTTTGAAATACTCAAATCTGATTGGTCAGCTAGTCTACGTAGTTTCCTCTGTAGGATGAGGAGGAATACTATCGAGGAACCTCTACCCTGTGCTGTACCATGACCCTGAAATTGCTGGTGTTTTTACGAGATCATTTCCTGCCCCTCCCTCCCAGTTCTGGCTCTGCTGCTGTCAGTTGATGGGTACTCGGTGGAGAGAGAGGCAGTCGACAAGATGGTGGCCGCCTGCGACGCGGGAGGCTACACACCCGTCGACCTGGACACTCTGTTCACCAGGGATCCACTCTGCACCGTCAGAGAGTTTGAGGAGTGGGTCAAACGGCACTCAAACCTCTCCTCTTTCACAAAGTGAGATCTCTCTCTCCCTGCACCCCCAGTCTCCTTTCCCTCTTTCCCTCTCTTCCCCTGAGATCTCTAAACCTTCTCCCCCTCTCTCTTTCTTTGCCCCTTCTCATCTCTTCCTCCACTCATCCACACATGTATTCTATCCTCTCTCTACGTTCCTCCTTAGTCTTGTCTTGTCTTTCTCCATCTCCTTTCTACCCTATGTATACTGCATTAGAGACACATGTACATGTACATCATCATGGTGCGGTAGATATGCTATTATGGTGCTGTATGTCTGTGTATGCAACTCAGGTGGCTTCTGGTACCGGGAGAGAGTGGCTTCTCTCTAGTGGGGGAACCTGACCCTCCTTCCTTCTACCAGACTCTGGGGCAGCTTCACGGAGGTATATATGATGTAACATTACACACCTTGAAAGGCCTTTAGTTCTAAACCCTTGCCGGAGTGTGTGTGTGTGTGTGTGTTTGTGTGAGAGAGAATAATTCGTATTAGGAGACCCTTTTTGTACAGTAGGGGAAGAGAGCAAACGCGAAATCTTTATCTCTGCAAAGTTCATGTTTGCCACCGGTTTTCTCCCTGGAAAGTTTTCTTCTGTTCTGAATTAGTTGTACATATCGACTTGTGGTCGCTCCCGCTCGCCAAAAATGCCATGCATTCGCCTACTAGTTATATATATTAACCACTGTTTTCAGTAGACAGATGTCGTGGTTGCCTCCCACTTATCAGGGAGAAGAAGACGTTCCTGTTTTAGTGGCAGTATACATAAGAATTTTGCGGAGAGTCATTTCACAGGTTTCCTGAACGGCCATACGGACGGTCCTTTACATACATTTTGGTTGGCCCTAAAAAACGATTCTGTGCAGTAGACTATAAAGTGGAACCCCGGACACCTTTATTTCTGGAACTGAATGCGAAAAACTGCTCTGGGGGAAAGGAAAATGTTTTCTTACATTTCAGGGGTGGGATTCAAGGAAATGGTTGGGGTATTATATACAGGTTTCAAGGGTGTGGCATGACCTGCTTCCACTGGTCACTGGTCAGTGAGGCCTGTGGCAGTTGTCAATGCCAGAGCAACGTCCCTAGTGATGGTTCGTGGTCTGACAGTCTCCCTGGGCCCCCTGTGTCAGGGAGGCTCACTAACCACGGCACATTTCCTCTTTCCCACTCTCTCTCTCTCTCCCTCTCCCTCTTGGAACGGCACACACATTTAAAGTGGTCAGAAAGCGGACAGTCATTGAGTAGATTCACGTCGCTTTTTCTGTTGGTTAACTTGCATACCAACAGGGGCAAGTTGATTCGGGCTTAGCCAAAACATTTTAAAGAGTTTGACCCCTCACCCCACTCCCCATGGAAAGAACCCTGTATCTGTATGTAACCCCACTGCCCTCTTTCCCGTTTTTCATCCCTCCCCTGCTTCCTTTTCTTCCCTCCCTCTCCTCCCCCTCCTCCCCCTTCTCCCCCTTCTCCCTCTCCTCCCTCTCCTCCCCCTCCCCCTCTTCCTCCAAAACCAGTCTCAGAGAAGGAGGTGATGGACCTGGAGCGAACCTACTGGAGTCTCAAGTCTGGCATCACCACAGGCGGCGGCTCAAGATTTGATCTGGAGACCTTTGTCTTCTACGCCAGTCCTCCTGTCCCCGAACCTCTCTGTAGAGGTAAGGTTCAAATTGTTGGCTGTTGTTTGTTTATGAGGAGGAGTGTTATTGGTGAGCAAAGTGATGATTCGTAGTGTTCTGAATTGTGTATCTGACCTTTGCATAGGCCACGCCCATTTTATCAGTGTCTCTATGCTTGTGTGTTTATGCCATAGAAGGCAGGGAATGCCACTGCATGTACAGTAACTATGAGGAACCGTTTGTTATCGGTGCAAGTCGCGCACTGGAAGCTGGTTGCTCACTCACAATTAATAGTATCTAACACTTTAACATGAAATAATACATGTAAATACATGACTATGTGAAGCTACGGAAAGTTCACCATACTAAGGCCAAGTTATTTCAAAGGTTCGTCTAGCGACTGCACACAACACAAGTGAGAGCTTTGTTAGCAGAGCTGTAGGGAGGACAAGAGAGACCATTGCCACAGTTAACCCTTAGTGGATAGAACTGATAGGATGAACTCCCACTGATAGTCTCTGGGCTCTGGTCCACACACTCGTGTTTGCTACGTAGACTATTATTGCTCATGAGGTATCCGGTGTACTCGCTGGTCCAGTGTGGAGGACAGGTCAGTTTGGCAGGAATCATCATGACAGTGGCTCTGAGAGAGGAGTAGCAGACTGCACATGGAACAGCACCACTGACTCCGGCTGGATGACTTCCGATAGCCCACTCCATAGACATAAAGTGATCCACCAGCATTACTGGAGAAGTATTCAGGATCATTTGGAAGACAGATAAAGTTAGTACCACCTAGGTACTGCCCCCAGCTCTTCCAGAGTAGACCAGTTCAGTTCCAGTGACATTAGGACATGAGGTCCTACCCCAGCGAACATACACACCACCAGAATGAGCAGGACCTTGGCTGCCACGATCTCCCTTCTCACCCCTCTCTCCCTTGTCCCCCTTCTTTCCCTGGGGGCCAGTGGGGCCAGGAAGACCTTGGGGACCATGAAAACCTCGACTACCAACATCTCCCTTCTCCCCCCTCTCTCCTTTTACCCCCTGTGAACCCTGGGGGCCAGATATTCCTTGTGGACCTGGACCCCCTACTTCTCCTTTTTCTCCTTGGATCCCTGACTCCCCTTTCTCTCCTCTGGTTCCATTTTCACCAGGAGGCCCGACATCTCCCCTCTCTCCCTTCTCTCCCCTGATTCCATCTCTTCCATCTCTGCCGTCTCTTCCTCTCATAGCCTGCAGCTGACATGAGACTGTGGTGCTAGAGTTCCCTCTCGCCCTCTTCTCCCTGTCTTCGCTCCCTCTCACTAGAGAAGTCTGCTGGAGTGATGGGAGAGAGGGGGGTGAGGGAAGGAAGAATAGCAAGAAGAAGAAGAACGAGAAGAAGAAGTAGGAGAAGAAGGAGAAGGAGGGGAAGGGGAAATGGAAGTAGAAGACTCCACCAAGCTGCACGCCACTTACCAGCAGAAGAGAGGAAAAAGTGGGCACACAGCATCAGGAATAGAGAGATGCTCACACCAGATCTGAGGAGAGCCATGTCCAGCCTTTGCAGATGCCTTCCACTAGACACTGACCTAGAAATGAGACTTTTTATACCACAAGACCATCCAGCCTCCTCATCTACTAGTGAAATGTGTGGTCTGCAACCTATATTCCCATCGTACCATATCACGGAACATTGACGAACCTTTACTGAGCAGTTCATATTCAGTACAGTGAATTTATAAACTGCCGCCAATTCTGTAGACATTTCTACGAACTCCCTCACATTTAATGTACTGGGAGTGTATGGAGGAGCTCACGGAACATTAGTGAAGATATCGGGTGCGCAGCCCTCAAACGAGTGGCTGACGACTTACCAAAACTCCCAGACAATGGGCCGCCCTCTCTCCAGTACTAGTGGTATATAGTGGACCAGGTCCTCCTTCACTCACTCCCAATTCCTCAAACGTAACTATCTGTGACTAGAGTGACTGCTGGGAACACACAACACCCTTTTGACACACAACCCCTCAGCTCTACGTCTGCTAAAGACTATGATCCCAGTGTGAAAATATTCACAAAACAGGGATTTGTGCACTGTACGTGAATATGTGTTGAAATACGCATGCACAGAAAAACTGCATCAATTGACCTAAAAATAAACCTGTTATAAGGTGACATAAGGCAGAGCTCTTTACCGGTCACTTAGTGGCCAATGGATGCAGTCCTAGAGACATTAGCATCACTTTTTGCCTGTTTGTTTCACATTGTGGCATAGTGTGTGCACACAATCCTTCTTGTGCATGCACGCTGAGGGATGCTACAATTTCCTTCATTGCTATAAACATCTTTAGTCACAGTAGAGTTGTGTACAAACTGGTTGCTCACTCACAATTAATAGTATCTAACACTTTAACATGAAATAATACATGTACATACATGACTATGTGAAGCTACGGAAAGTTCACCATACTAAGGCCAAGTTATTTTTGTCTAGCGACTGCACACAACACAGGTGAGAGCTTTGCTAGCAGAACTGTAGGGAGGACAAGAGAGACCATGGCCACAGATAACATGTAGTGGATAGAACTGATAGTCATAAACCCCACTGAGAGTCTCTGGGCTCTTGTCCACACACTCGTGTTTGCTCTGTCGATTGTTACTGCTCATGAGGTATCCGGTGTACTCGCTGGTCCAGTGTGTAGGACAGGTCAGTTTGGCAGGAATCATCATAACAGTGGCTCTGATAGAGGAGTAGCAGACTGCACATGGAACAGCACCACTTACTGCATCTGGATGATTTTCATAGCCCACTCCATAGACATAAAGTGATCCACTACCATTACTGGAGGAGTATTCGGGATCATTTGGAAGACAGATAAAGTCGTAGCCACCTGACTGCCCCAGCTCTTCCGAGAGTAGACCACTTCAGTTCCAGTGCATTAGGACATGAGGTCCTGCAGCGAAGTACACACCACCAGAATGTGCAGGACCTATGAGACTGCCACGATCTCTTCCACCCCTCATCTCCATTGTGCTTTTCTCTCCTGGGGACCATGGGCCAGGGAGACCTTGGGGACCATGAAAACCTCGACTACCAACATCTCCCTTCTCCCCCCTCTCTCCTTTTACCCCCTGTGACCCATGGGGACCAGATATTCCTTGTGGACCTGGACCCCCTACTTCTCCTTTTTCTCCTTGGATCCCTGACTCCCCTTTCTCTCCTCTGGTTCCATTTCACCGAGAGGCCGGACATCTCCCCTCTCTCCTTCTCTCCCTGATTCCATCTGCCATCTCTCCCGTCTCTTCCTCTCATAGCCTCCAGCTGACACGAGGCTGTGGTGCTAGAGTTTCCTCCCTCCTCCTCTTCTCCCTGTCTTCGCTCCCTTTCACTAGAGAAGTCTGCTGGAGTGATGGGAGAGAGGGGGGGGGGGGACGAAAGAAGAGCAAGAACGAGAAGAAGAAGAATAGGGGGAGGGAAGGAAAAAGAAGAAGAAAAGAAGAGACTCACTCTATGAAACTGCGCACTATCTTCCTTCACTTACCAGCATAAGCGAGGAAAAAGTGGGCACACAGCATCAGGACTAGAAAGATACTCACACCATATCTGAGGCGAGCCATGTCAAATGCCTTCAACTTGACTCTCGCCTAGAAGCGAGGCTTTTTATAGCACAAGTCCATCCAGCCTCCTCATCTACTAGTGAAATGTGTGGTCTGCAACCTATATTCCCATCGTACCATATCATGGAACATTGACGAACCTTCACTGAGCAGTTCATATTCAGTACAGTGAATTTATAAACTGCCGCCAGTTTTGTAGACATTTCTACGCACTCCCTCACATTTAATGTACTGGGAGTGTATGGAGGAGCTCACGGAACATTAGTGAAGATATCGGGTACCGCAGCCCTCAGATGAGTGGCTGACGACCTACCAAAACTCCCAGACATTGGGCCGCCCTCTCTCCAGTATTAGTGGTATATAGTGGACCAGGTCCTCCTTCACTCACTCCCAATTCCTCAAACGTAACTATCTGTGACTAAAGTGATCATTGCTTGGAACACACAACACCCTTTTGACACACAACCCCTCAGCTCTACGTCTGCTAAAGACTATCATGCCAGTGTGAAAATATTCACAAAACAGGGATTTGTGCACTGTGTACGTGATTATGTGTTGAAATACGCATGCACAGAAAAACTGCATCGATTGACCAGTCACTTAGTGGCCAATCGATGCAGTCCTAAAGACATTAGCATCACATTTTTGCCTGCTTGTTGCGCATTGTGATATAGTATATGCACACAATCCTTCTTGTGCATGCACGCTGAGGGGTACCTTCATTGCTAAACATCTTTAGTCACACTTGTAGAGCTGTGTACTAGCTGGGATTGTAGTTTAGACTTACAGCACTGTTCTCTGTTGTATGTGTCATCGTGTGTTTAGGTTTGTTTGAAGCATTTGATGAGAACTGCGACGGGCAGCTGGACCTGGCAGAGATGGTGAGGGCTGTTGGCTGGTCCTGCCGCAGCTCCCCCCGAGAGAAACATAACTGTAAGTCTATGTGCACACTATTACACTCTCTATCCCTAGTCTCGCGAACCATACGCATTTTGTGCGCGTGTGTCGAGGCCACCCTAACACTTTACATACGCGCGCCTCGACGCATGCACGCAAAATGCGAATGGCTCGCGAGCTATTCTCTCCCTTCCTCCCTTCCATTTTGCATCTCTCAATACCAGTTACCTTAAAGTCGTAATTTTTAGCGACTACTTATTTTAGCTATATTAGCGAGTAACCCCGAAATCGCTAATTTAACCGAGCGCTGAAATTTTACAATCGACTCATGAATTATTTAATGAGCAATGACAGTATACGGGAAAATGTAAGATCGCTAAATTTTCTACCCGCTAAATACGGTATGCGACCAAATCGCTAAAATTTAAGAGCGCTAAAAATTCCGACTTTAAGGTATACTACTTTTTCAGTGCTCCTGCCTTTGTAATAGCCTCGCCCTCCTTTTCTGGAGATGCTAAGGGTGTAGGGTGTACGCTTGCTTCTTTCTTCATGTGTATGTCATAAGAAGCTGTTTCTATTCCTTTAGCTTGCAACTTACGACTTTTTGTTTCTCACATCCCTCTCTTTCTTTCTCTCCTTCTCTCCCTTGTGGGCACCCCCCCTATCTCACAGTATGTTTCAAGATATTTGACGAGGACAGAGATGGAGTCTTGTCGCGGGAGGAGCTGACTGGAGCCATCACTCACCTCCAGACTATAGTCAGAGAGAACTCTGAGGAAACTCCCGAGGATATTGAGGACATAGTCAGTTCCTTTGGTACCGTTCTTTTTTACAAAAGATGACACGTATTATCCAACCAAGTAGCAATAATTACATGCTGTTATGTTGTTCACCAACTAAAAGGGATCCTCCCCCCCCATTAGGACTCAACGGTCAACTCTGCTATGGAGAAATTTGCACTAACCAAGGTAATATGCACATTGTGTACCTACACGTACATAATTATGTCACATCGAATAAACTAAAAACTTTCACTTCAAAAAACATTGGCGTATTGCTCAAAACCAACTTTTCGCGAAAGTAAAAAGTTTCACGAGCATGCAAATGCAGGTGCAGTATTTGCTTGTGCGCATGCGTCAATCGCAAAATAGATGGAAAATAATTTCTCGATTTCCAGAGTTTTGTGAAAGTTTTCAGTTAGCTATAGTGTGCATGTTAATAGTGCCACACGCTGCCTCATATACATGTACTGTACGTATGTCCATCTCACAGGAGGGTTGTTTGAACGAAGAGGAGTACTTCAAGTGGGCGGAGTCGACCACACCCCTCTCGTTGAGTCTGCTCCATCTCCTGTACCAAGTCTGCCACGTGCGGTTTGGGCTCAGGCCACGCACCAAGGCCGATGAAACCATGGTCATTGGGTCAGTGTCATTATACACTCTTAATACAGTAAATTTGGGCGATTGAGCATAGCAGAGCTACTACAGTCCACATTCCAGCTTTTGCTACGATATTTTATTGAGGTCTACTGTTTTAAGCCTTGCGTTGTGTGAATTGTTGGTTGTGCTTCACACGGGAGGATAAAAGCTCTCCAATCTCTGATTCTTTAATTCAGTTTCTAGCGATGGCCAACTCTTTATCTTTCCATGGTAGCTACATTTTGTTGCTGCTGAAGAGCGCATACGTCCACAATTTTGTATGGCCAGCCGCACAGAGAAAGACACCAACAAAATTTCCCGCAAGTGTTAATTACACGATGTTTGTGTTTGTATAGGGGGTATATGCTGAGGTTCCACAAGACAGGTCTGAGGCCAGGCGACACGGTGTACATCATTGATGGAGAGTGGTTCAAACAGTGGAGGAAAGTCACCGGATATGAGGTACATACATACATACGTATATTGATGACTGAAAGAGCTGTCCTGGGTGTAGCTGACTTGTTTGCCTTGATGACTGAGGGTTATATCGAATAATCTTAGAGCGATAGTGAGTCCGGTGTGCAGTTTGGAACTAAAGAGGCAGTGTACACTGCTTTTTCCCTATAATGCATCTCCTAGACGAAAGTAGTTGGTAGCAGATATAATTATCAAAACAAACACTCGTGTATGTCTCAACAACTTGGTAGCGAGGTAGAAAGGCAAGGCAAGGCAAACAAGTCAGCTACACCCAGGACAGCTCTTTCTTTTCAAAGCACACAATATGGACTATTCTGTGTCCTCTCCGATCCCTTAGATATAGAATTTTATTGCCACATATTTTTATCAAAAATTTGACCCTGTCTGAAACATGGTTCTTGTTATTCTGATGCTGACCCAGGGGGACCCTTGTTCTAACGATGCGGCCTCGTCTGGCAAGAAGAAGAAGAAAAAGAAAGACAAACACAGACATAAGAAACACCGAGCTCCTTCGCCCCAGGTAAATACGTATATGTACACAAACAAAACCAAAATATTTTCCAACGCACGTCCCAGAGGTGTGCGTGGTGTTTCATTATACTTGGGAGGGGAAAAGTTGAGGGCGGTTCATGAACACATTTTAAATCTTCATGGCCAAGGAACAAAAATATTTTTAGGCCTTGTTTTACTCAAGTCATAAAAAGCCATCTGCAAATGTTCACACTTTTAATATTGTATGTGCAGAGATATTGCTGCCAATGCACAGCCTGTATTCCGTATTGATATATTTTTCGTCCCCTGCTATAGGTGATACTAGAGGCAGGCAAGGCTCACGCTTCAACTCAGACTCCACCCACCGGTACGGGCGGAGTCGGGATGGGAGGGGAGGCGGGGCTAGTGGAGAGGGGGGAAGATGTGGTGGAACTGCTGACGGTGGCAGAAGGAGGAGGAGGAGGGAGACAGATGACGCCAAACTCGTCCTTCTCCTCCCTGAACTGGGGGGACAGCCCGAGTCAGGCGAGCTCGGGCGTGGTTGCCGGCAGGGAGGGGGCGGGGCCTGTGGAGAACAGCATTCCTCTCATTGATAACTCCGGTCTGTTGGTTCATGACTCCACCAACAAGAAGGTCACCTCTCTTACCAATGAAGGTATCAACCTTTAGTATATACATACATACATGTAGTCATGTTTTTAAAAAATTGTTTAATCCCGTACTGAGTATCTAGTAAAGTGACATTGGTGCCTTTTTTCTCACACAACCAACATACGCTGTAAAGCAACACATTTTGGCAGGCGAATCGAGTAGTTTAGTTCAATTTTGCGCATATGTATTAGTACTAGGAATGCGCACGCGCATATTTTGCCTCGCGCCTGCCAGCCAATGCGTAAACAGTCCGACTGAGGTCGCTCGTGTGCGCGCTCCAGATTTCCTACGAATCTGCGCGCACGGCGGAAATTGACATTCCTAAGCATGACTAATTGACATTCTTAAGCGTGACCGACACGTACGTACGCATATCGCGAGAATACAACCCGGAGTAGTTGCCTCACGCTAACGCGCTTGGCAATTATAGAGAACATTAAGGTATGTGCAGCGCCCGTCACAAGTCACAATAGACACATTGATAAATCCCTGGTTCAGACTAGTATATAGGCTCTCTTCAGTCACCAACAAGTTAGTGTGTCACTTTTTGGACGTTTTTGGAGGACCTGACCTCTAATGCATGTCTGAATCTCAGGGGGGTTTCTGAAGAAGGAGCTGGTGGAGGGAGAGACGTTCTTCTTCCTCCCGGTCGTGGTGTGGAAGGTGTTTACCTCCTGGTACGGCACAGCTGGACTCCAGGGAGGACCCGCCCTCCCACGACTGGTACATACTTATTTACGGAGCAATGCAACATATTGTGAACCTAGCTTTACTCTGCATATGTAGGTGAGAGCAGACGGTTCCATTGACTTCCACCCAGTCCAGTTCAAGGTGTACCGACACACGACCCTCCCCCCTGCCGGCAAGCAGTCCTCCCTCCCCTGGCCCCTCCCCTCCTTCTTCGGAACCCTCGGAATCAGCTCCAGCAAGCCGGCGACTCCGCCCATCGTTAGCTCGGCAGGGGTGGGGCCGGGCGGGGCAGACGGCGGGCCAATCCAGCCTCCACTCCCTCGCCGTGTTCTCTACTACTATGCCGCCTTCACTGGTGCCACTGCTGTTGCTGAGGTTATAATACTATACAACCTGTGTGAACTGTGTGTGTGTTGGTTGGAACATGCTACCAAGTATAACCAACAGAGAATACCAACATCCTTTTTTCAGTGCTACAATGTGAATGGCGATTTTCTGAAACCACTGCATTCAAAAGTTGGACCAGTGAAAAGCCAGGATGCTGATAAGAAATGCCTCTTAGACCTGATTTTATTCAGTGCACTGTTTCCAGTGAAAGGTTGCCCCAAACACTACATTCTCTCTGATGCTGCTAGTAGAGAGCAAAGAAACTGACACCATCGGGTGTAATAATCCACCTCCTCTGTTGTGTATATAGATGAGTGAGTACATTGAGAAGGTGCTACACGTGAAGTCAGAAGACCTCAGACTCTATGACCTGACGGACGAGAGCCCGTTTATCTGGACCACGAGAGGACGTGGAAGACTCACGTTCACCGACGGACAAAACATTCTCATGAAAGGTAAGCAAGCCCGAGACCAATGCACAACATTATTCGTGTGTCATTGTCTAACAGAAACGTTAGAGACCCTTTGGACGCGGGTTATCGCTTTTACATGCGCAGAAAGGAGGTACAATATAAAGTATAGTATAGCGTAGTATTGTGGACCCCTAAATATATGGATTATGGCGGCTCTGGAACATAGGGTCATGGCTGTGTGTAGTG